TTTTATATCATTTTGTTACTTTTCATTTGATACCATCTGTTGGATTTTTTTATAGTATTATAAAGAAAGGGACGAGGATGCCTTAATAAGTTAATAGTTAATGGTATAAAATCATCAAGGCTCAAATCAATCTGCAACATCTCTGCTTACTAATTTACAAAAAGCAATTTAATATTCATCAACAAGAAGTTAATTACAAACTACAATCACATTTGGGTTTGTCTTATTTTAATTTTCAATTAAAAATCCCGTTTTCTTCTTTCTTTTTATTTTTGTTTTTCTAATGCTACGTCCATATTCTTCCCTTGCCATTTATTTTTCTGGGTTTTGCAATCTTCTAACTAGCTACAACAAGGCCATAAAAACAAATTCTGAAGAATTGAATCTATATAATTTTTTTTTTCTTTTTCTTTATAATTTGAATTGGTTGAAAGAAAGACTTTCGGTACCTTTTTTTATAAACTAATAAGAAAACTCTAATTTACAAGTGATTAGAAGGTCACTTGGAAATATTTTTATAGTGTTATAAATAAAGTATGAAAAAAATTAAAATTCGAATCCCTCGTTTAAATTCATGCATGTAAACAAAGTACAATAAAGAATTTTCTAATGTTGCTGCATTGGATCCCTTGTAAGTGTTTACACCAAACCATCCCAATATTATAATTGACAAAAAGAATACAGAAAATCTCAAACGATCTGTAATCAAACACAGGCCCTTTCTTTTTGGCTGGATTAATGAAACAAATGATAATCAGCTTGATTAGGACTTAAGTGCTTCAGTTAATTTTAAATAGATCAATTTTATAATATACTTCGCTTATTAATTATTATATGTAGCTAGCAAAAAGATCCTAAACCATCTTTTTATGGTGGCCAAAACTTTTCTAGTAACAAAGTCCCATCCAACCTATCAATTCATCACCCCGTATTAGAAAAATAAAAAGGGAAGAATGTAGATCGGTAGATCTTGTGTTTAAAGAGAGTGTCGTCAACTTGAATTTGAAGGGATTTTAATAGATTTTTTTTTAAGTGGCAGATTTCAAAGAATTTTAATAGATTCATAATTCTATGTGGACTTTAGCATATTTATATGGGTTTCAGCATATAAATTTGTATGGATTTCTTAGGATTTAGAAACACAAAATGAATTTCTTTCTCATTGCACAATCCGAAAGGAACGTAAATATATATATAGACATAGAAATACAAACCAATTAAATATGTAAATAGAATGGGTCGTTGAGAACATTGATCCAAGAGTTTGAATAGTTATAAAGGATAGGTTTAATTAGAACAACATATCCATTCAAAGAATGATGATTTCAAGTACAAGAATAGCATATTATTTATGAGAAAGATTACCAAATGGCATATTGAGCAGGGACTGATTTGGGCAGCAAAATGCTGGGGATAAAAACATTTTAACCCTAAAGCACGGACACTACCATTTTAGCCATACAATCTGCGGGAGGAACAAACCATGGCACGAATTCAGAAAAATGCGATTTGCTGGAGTTTACAATCGGGATTTTATCTGTATGTTATTTTGCTTTATCCCAATTCAGAAAAATCGTGGTCTTATTTTCACTCATCTTCCCAGATGAACAAACCAAGAGCACGAATTCAGAAAAATACAAAAACAAAGTGAAACCTGGGAGTTTACTGGGAAATGCTCTGAACTCAGGTAGGATTGACGGTTCATCTTCTATGGTCTGGGGTGAAAAGAATCAGAGGGTGGACGGTTGGATTGTAGATGGCATTTGGTATTTATACCACCCATCCTCAAATTCATCAAAATCCTTCATCCACAAAAATTCTGGCAAATCTTTGACATTCTCACTACACCTAAATTTGTATGGATTTTTTAAATTTAATTGACTATCCATAGATTTGGGTGTACTCTTTAAATCCTCTTAAATCCTAATTTGACTACACTATGATTTTAAAATCTTTTAAAATCTACTTTCAAACTCTTAATTGACTACACTCTAATTTTAAAATCTATTAAAAATTCATCAAATCCTAATTTAACTACACCCCTAATTTTCTCTTTGCCTATATGTGGCAAGTAAATGGACATGAACGGAAGGATTTACATCAATCGGTGATTGCACTATCACCCAAATTCACGGCCTATTGCAAAATTTTGGGAGGAACATATTCTCTCTCTCTGGTCGCGGCCAATGGCAATTTGGCAAAGTAATCATACGTGGGCCTTGTTTCTACGCAGCATCACCATAAGTAATATTTAAGAGATTAAAAATTTTAAACTAAATTTACAAATTAAATGATGTGATTATAAATGATTGAATTATTAATTAAATATTGATTAACGTGTTTAATATTTTTTTATTGATGATATATTATTTAATTTAAAAAATTTAATCCTATATTACTCGCATGGCCATTATTGCCATGCATGTCCGACAAAAAGTTAACCCTAGTGGTGGGTCCTTATCTGTGGCAAATCAACTTACCCTTGAGTGCTTGCTTGTAGAACCGAACCCTTTGGCCTCAATTTGGGTCCCTCCTCCAACGTCAACAAGATTTCCGTTAGCTTTTTCATTTTTGCTCCAATATCTAGTGTGAACATTGCTTGATGCTTCTAGATTACGTCTAAAGTTGATTTTTTAATTCGATATTGTCTGCACTAAAGAATGGAGAAATGCAGTAAACTTTGGAATGGTTGGCTATAATAATTTGATTCGGATTTGTTTTTAGCGAGAATTGAACTTAAAACATTTCACTTACAAATGAAAAAAAATATCACTAAACCGTAGTACTAAGTGACTCGTCTATAATTGCCTTTAATAAAGTTAGTTACCGAATACAAATGTTACTTTAGGAACTTAATTAAACATGGAGAAGTATAGGTGTCTACCCAAATACCATTATGTGTAGTGGTAGATTCAGGATTTAAACTTGAACATCTCAGTGTTGAAGTTCCAGTTTTTTTGGAGGGAAAAAGCGTGTGAAGCACGCAAAAATTTTCAATTTGTTTATTGAAACATTTCATTGAACACTTTATGTGCTTATTGTCGTCGTACGAGCCATTTGCACACATGTCAACATATATCGACCCTTATCGAAGCAATTTGTTAAGTGCTATCGAGAGTATCTGTCAAGTTATTTTGATGTAAATGTTGAGTGTTGCAGGTATATATATGTCTAGTAGGCATTACATGAAACACTTGGTGAACACAAAAGGATCTTGTATCAAACAATCAAAAGGTCATTGGAGGACCTTCATAGGTGTGTTTCCCGGCTTCTAGATGGTCCTAAGACCACCTTGATCCCTATGTGATCCACCCTTAGTTATGTGATAGCTTTATTCTACTTAAATTATTATACATACATTGTTGCTTTAAAAATGTAACATATCAATTATATCGTCCAGAATTTATTCATATTATAAAAAACTGTAATGATAGGACCGGTTTTTCCGATATAATCCTTAAACTTATTAAAACCATGACAGGCCTATACTAATTAGCTCTTACTAAGTGCTTTGCATGGTTCAGGAAGATACATTTAGTTCCTTTCCATTATTGTAGGCTGAGCCAGCAAGTATCTAAACCCTCAAAAATTTAATCATGGCTTCTTTCTCTAGGCTTTTTCAAAGTGAGATAAGTAAAGGTAGGTGGTGGTGTTACTATGAGCTTTCGTGGGTCCTCGGAAGAGTTTGGGGGGACAATACTTTGGAGCTTTAACGCCAACAGTTTGACACTTTGACTTCTTTGTCGTTTTAAGCTGAGAAGAATTCAGAAGTCCCTCTGATTCCCATATGATATGAGTTTGGTATGGAAAGACTTTAGAATTATGTAGAGGGAAGAACAAATAATTTTTTCTTAGTCTACGGTTTAACAGTTCCTTATTTAATTACAATTTTATACAAGATAGTAATTAAATGTATAATTAACTGATGAGTAGAAATAATCAATGAAGGAATTGTAGGTGACTTTGTGGGGATTGTATCTGGAATAGAAACTTTAATTCCAAGATGCTTTGAAAAAGATGTTTAATTAGTTTACTGAAATGGTAAAACGGACTAGAACTCTTTCTGAATTTAGACTATAACTGATATTAAAACTGTATTTGGAACATGCATGAATGGATCATTACACTACCATAAAATATTGTTCGCCCAACAAAATTTGGTCCGATGAACCATATTTTGTTGGATAAAGTAAGTTTACCTGACGAAAATTTCCGTTGGTCGGGCAAAGATGGTTAGCATATATGGTTTTTCCAAAGGCTTTGTGCGACAAAATAATTTTGTAGGGCAAGAGCATTTTGTCGGGTAACATTTTGGCACCAAGAGAAAAAATGGCACGTATTTTGTAAATTATTTTTAAGATGAAATCTTTAACTTGTAAAGTAAATTAACTTTTAACATAGATAGTGCGAATGCATTATAAGGTAAAAATGGACATATGGCATAAAATAAAAGACAACAAGAGAACAAAACTAATACAAGTGAAATTCATTGCATAGAAGAATTTAAATCACACATAGATTCATTTTGTGTACATGTGCATTATTCATTTTAAAAAAACGAGACTTTACTTTCTCAAGAATCTTATCATTATTCACTTTTGTTGAATATAAGTTCTACATCAGAAAATTAAGAAAATAAAATACAATATATAAGGGGTTATTTTGGTTTCACATCCTTATCGTACAATATCTAAGTATATGGTTCCACTTCTAATAAGATCAAGATCTTTTATGATAAAACTTAACACTGAAAAATACACGGTTAAGTTGGGACAGTATCATTGTAGCTGAGAGTGAACGAGTGGCCTGTCTCTTTGAACATCTGACAAGTTGAACCAAATCTGAAAACAAACACTCTTAATCACTTAATGTAAGCTCCATGAAACTACAAAGACATATTAAATACATTGTTGATCATAAGTGAGATCCACAATCAAGCATAAAAATAAGTTACCACCAATAACCTAAACTTTCAACAAGCTAGCCAACCGCACACTTCACTATTATGGGATCCTTCTAAAAATACACCTAACATGGTTTGATTGCTTTTGCATGGCCTGGAGAGAGTCCAGAAGTGAGCTAATTACTAAAAAGCAGAATTAGACAGCGAATCAAACAAAGAAAACTCAAAAAGCAATTGTATGCAAAGGCTTGAGCAAGAAGCTTCAAAGAGATTAAAAGCCTCCCTACGACCCCTCGTCATCCCTCTAATGTCATGTATGACATTTCCACACAAACGCTACTACTTTACCTTATTATATTCCATTGCCATCCCACCGCCACCACCATGCACACACGCAAAGATAAAAAGCCCTCAATCATCACCACCAAAAGCCCCCCTTACCCCTCCCTTCACATTTCCTCTTCCTCTCAGCCAAATCACAGCTTTCTAAATAAGCCAGTCATAAAAGAAGGGCTTTCTAAATAAGCCATGAGAGTGCCTGTTTCTTCCCCACACAGCAACAACAACAACAACCAATCTCCCAAGCACAGCACCCAGACTAATAACCAAAGTGTCAACTTTCACCTAGGTATTTCGAGCTTGGGGGGCTACGAGCCCACCTCGGTTCTCGACCTCCGCCATAGCCCCAGCCCTGTCTCAGCCGAGAAACCCTCCAAAATTTTGGCAATCTCCGACGTACTGTCCCACTCGAACCATGACCCTGTGGAGTGGGAGGAGCAAGTGGACTGGGACTCAATCATGAGAGACTTAGGGTTGCACGACGACAACGTCCCTAACCTCAAGAATTCAATCCCGCAATTGAATTCAAACGATCCTCAGATTTCGGAGTACCTGCATCCTCAACCGTTCGATCCCTCCCAGCTCGTCCACTCCGATTTCAACATCAATCTCTCCGAAGTGTACTCCTCCCAGAATTGTTACGACCATGTGATCAACGACTTCCATCAATCGGGCAGCTGGAACGTAGGGGTTGATTTCATAGAGGAATTAATCGGCGCTGCGGACCGTTTCGACTCGGACGAGTTGCCACTCGCTCAGGTGATCCTAGACCGTTTGAACAACAGGCTTCGATCCTCCTCCCCGTCGAAACCCGTCGGAAAGCCACTTCAACGCGCCGCGGTTTATTTCAAGGACGCTCTTCAATCCCTCCTCAACGGCTCTGATACGGCGGCGCGCGAGTTATCTTCCTGGTCCGACATCGTCGAGACAATCCGCGCCTACAAGGGCTTTTCCGGAATTTCGCCAGTCCCGATGTTCTCTCACTTCACAACAAACCAGGCCCTGCTCGAAGCCCTTAACGGATCAGCCTTCTTCCACGTCATCGACTTTGATATCGGCCTGGGCGGCCAGTACGCTTCCCTAATGAAAGAGCTCGCCGAGAAAGCTGACGTGGCGAGCCGAAATAAAGGCAACCAGGTCCCACCGGTGCTCCGCATCACCGCCGTCGTGCCGGAGGAGTACGCCGTCGAGACCCAGCTGATTCGGGAGAACCTGTCCCAGTTCGCTCAGGAGCTAAAGATTAGGTTCCAGGTCGAGTTCGTCCCCGTCCGTACGTTCGAGATGATGTCGTTCAAGGCCGTCAAGTTCATGGACGGGGAGAAGACTGCGGTTCTTCTGTCGCCGTACATCCTCCGCCGCCTCTGCTCCCAGAACAACATCTCCGGTTTTCTCGGCGACATGCGCCGCGTGTCGCCAAGCGTCGTGGTGTTCGTCGACGGGGAAGGGATGGGAGATTCTGGAACAACTTCCTTCCGAAGGAACTTCGTCTCCGGCCTTGAGTTCTTCTCAATCATGCTGGAGTCGCTGGACGCATCCGTGGCAGCTTCCAGCGACGTGGTGAAGAAGATTGAAACGTTTCTGCTTCGGCCGAAGATTAAGGCAGCGGTGGAGGCGGCAGCTAGGCGGATTCCGCCATGGCGGGAAGTATTTCAGGGAGCGGGAATGAGGGCAATGGAGCTGAGCCAGTTTGCTGACTTTCAGGCCCAGTGCCTGTTGGGGAAGGTCCAGGTCAGGGGATTTCACGTGGCGAAACGGCAGGCCGAGTTGGTGCTTTGCTGGCACGACAGGGCCCTGGTTGCCACGTCGGCATGGAGGTGTAGTTAGGAGGAGCTAATTAGCATTAGCAGCTAGCTAGAAGACTAGCTAATAATTAAGCAGTTTTCTTTTCTCTTTTAATTACTCTAACTATTGGGGTGTAATTATGTGTTTAGTGTTAAGGTAATGATCCCGACCAATCTGTTTTGTTAGGTTTGGGACTATTTTTTTTGTTTTTTTTTTTTCCTTTTTCTTTTGATGTATGTTTTTATTTTTCTGTCAATCTTTTGGTGTATGTTTGGTTATCGTTGTAACTTTTTTTTGCTTGTTTTGGAAGAAACATAAGAGGGAAGCTAAGCAAACTATTGGCAATGTCCCAACACTCAAATTATGAATCAATGGATTATGGATCTCATGTTCTTGTACATAATTTATTTTCTTATTGTCCTTTTTACTTAGAGGTTAATTTCTCTTTGCATATAGAATGAATTCATTAACTAAAACATAGTTGGTTATCAGCCTTCTCCCCACCCTTGGTAATTGTCTCCCTTCCTTGTTTTCCCTACAACAATAAGCTCTTTAACGAGGAACAACCTCTTCTCCAATTGTAAATGAGAATTCTAAGTTCAACTTATTGTATGATGTTGGGGGATTTTTAAGTCAGAGCTAGACTTGGGCTTTGGTGGATATCCTTTTGCTTCCTCTGGTTCGTTTATGTACCAAGTCGTGGAATACCTCGAAAGAATTAGCGTGTCTATGGAAGTATCTTGGTTGGATTAATGACTTAAAGATAACATGATTTAAGCAAATAATGGGAAGTGAGGCGTGGTGCGGAAGTTAGAAGTTTACCAAGTTTAGTGTGAGAGAGAACTTGTGAATGGTTGCATGGTCTTGAATGATGAATAATCTGGGATTCCTAAGGGTCTGAGGATGCCTATATTAACTTAGGAAATTCAAGGAAACCTAGAGGAACCCTTAAAACCCTAGAAAGAAGATTTCCTTGAGGATCCAAGACTACATGCGCTTAAAGAAGAATCTCCCTGCTTGGTGTGATGCAACTCTCAATCCTCTCCCTTTTCTCTCTCTTTCTGTTGTGTTATGTTATGTTATCCTTTATGTTGTGACTCCTACACCTTTTATAGGTGGATGGTAGATTTCCTGGGTTTCTCCTAGGGAATCCCTTGTTTTTGCCGTTTCTTCCTGCTTTGGCTAAGTCTTCCTCTCTCTTTTCCTCAGCGCAGCTATGACTTTCCTTTTTAGCGTTACATTGATGGACGTCGTCGGTCCCATGAAGACTGCATCAGGCGCCTGGTTCATAGTGCCTTCTTCCTTGGTTAACCTTCCACATACATTGCTTCTGGCAACACGCCCATTTGTTTTTCTTCATCGTTCTTTTGCGTGAGCTAAGAAGGGAAATACCCCTTCTCTCTTCATTAATGGATGCCCTGCTCTCACGTAAACCTGATACTTTGGATTCTAATTTCTTCCTAACTGGACTAGTTAGTTTGCTAAGGGAAAAAGGATTTTGGTTTGTTCTCTCCCAGACTTACCTACGTGAGGTTTAAAGATTGTGGGCTTGGATCTTTGGTGCTCCCAAGTAGCCTAAAGTCCTCAATAATCTTAATTCCACATAGACCCGATAATCTTCCATGACCATCCACATCACGACCCACTTAGCATGCCCCTACACGTAGTATAGGCTTATTTCTGCAGCATTGTAGTTAGCATGGTTTGTTTATGACGACAATATCGTGACAAAGCTTGGGATGGTGAACATGCATGGGCTTGTACGGGCTTAGCGGGATTATACAAACGGTCTTCCATAAATTATTACTTTATTAGCATGGCGTGATTGTAAATATTCTCGATTTTGCACCTTTGCATGTATTTAATCTTGGCTCAGGGTATTTCACAGACAATTGGACTTTGAGACGTTATTAGGCTTGCATGTGACATTTTTAGACCCCAACAGATGACAACTTTGTTATCCAATTATGACTAACTTATTAGGTGGTTTGACTCAAACTCATCTCTAGAACATTGTTTTATAAAAAAAAAATGTAATTTTCTCATTGATGTGGTTTGGCCCCATCCAAGATAAGAATACACATTTTAGGCTTATTTGGTCCCTATAATTTAACTAGAATTGACAACTCACTATATTTAAGGACATGATGAAAAAAAAATTGAAAAAAAATGATAAATTACTCATCAAGGAAACTTATCCATTTCAATTCTCCTAAAATAAGAGGATTAGAAGAGATGAACTTCCTTCATGCCTAATCCAATCAAAATAAAAAAATCGTTCTCCTTCATCTTCAATATACCTTAAATATAGTTAGTATTGATCAATTCCAATCTAATGATAAAACAAGACCGTTTAGTGTTATAGATGAATGCATATTGTGAATTATCTTGTTAGTTAGGGCTTCTGTTTCAACCTACTGTGTCTCGGGTTCGGACTTTTTCAACTTTGACTTTATAATTGGACCCGTTAACAGTTGGGCCGATTTTCTTTGAAAAATTCACTCAACTTTTCCATTTCTATCAACTCCATATATCGTGAAACGTAATTAACGGTTAGGAGGTTTCCCTGCGCGCTTTGCTCTGCTCTGCTCTGCTCAGAAATGGCTCTTCTCGGATCCAACATCACCAGCGAGGTCCTCTTTCTTCTTCCTTCTTCGATTCCATTTTCCTTTACTCTTCACTAACTGTTTGATACATTTATTTTCTCTTTGTTCTCGTTTCCGTTTCGTTGCAATTATTGTAAAAGACTAATCCCCAAATTTTCGAACTCCAGTCTGATTTAGGGTTTCTCAATTATTGATAACTTGCGATTAAAATGCTTCTTGAACAATTTTTGTAATTATTCACTATAAGTTATTTAATTTTTTTGGAAATTTCCATTTTTGATGTAATTCGTGCGAGTAAAGTACAAGATAATTAATCGTAGGATTAGGAAATTGGATTGTGAAATTCAGTAACTTCAGGAAATTTTTGGAAATTTTGTTCATAAATCTTTTTTTGGTCAATAATTTTGTTAATACATCATGAATTTGCTTGTGTGTGTGTGTTTATATATCCATGGTTGATGCTTAGGATTGTTCACTATTACCCTCATTGTTTTATGTAATATTGGAATCCATTAACTTTTCGATAATTAAACGCTAAAATTGACGTTTGAGAATATCTGATGCAGGTAGGGTTGAGGTTGCTACTTTGCCCTCTTGGTTCGAACATTGTACTCCGAACTGCATGGTAAGGCATGATTAATGTGAACTGCATGCTAAGGCATGATTAATGGTCATTTTATTTTCGTTAAACTTGGAATGTGGTTAGTTTATGAAAATACATTGAATCTGTGCTCTGGTGTAGTTGTTCTGTGGGGATTGGTATACCAGTATACTGTACATGCAAGGCAATTGAAAGGAAAGATCGTATTGCACAAGAAAAGTGGCTTTTGTATTGGGCAGGTTGGAAATTATTAATTACTTTTGTTACTTTCCTTATTGTACTTTGTATTTGGATCGTGTTATGATTCTTAACTGTATACTATCAAGACTTATGCTTCTTTTGAACCCTATCATGCAAGTAATATAATTTCACTTCAAATGATTGCAGCTTATGGATCTTTCAGCCTTGTTGAAATATTTTCAGACAAGCTTATTTCATGGTTAGATCTGGATCCTGTTCTTCAGAGTTATCGCATTTGTTAATTAGTTAGATTCTTTATATATCACATTTGCTACCTTTTACATATGCATGTTCATCTTTGCATATTTGCTCAGAATCCCATATTGGTTGGGTGTATTTCAGGATTACTCTAGATCTCTTTAAATTTGTTACATTGACGGTTTCATTAAATTACTGATGAATAAGGTTGTATGTTTCAACTTTCAACCACAATTTTTTGGTGACTTGAAAAGCAAAAATACAATGTCGCCATTTTGAACAAAGAATAATAGAAAAAGGGTACCCTATACTCTTCCATATACTTGCACTTTCCTCTGTCTGTGTTGTGACTATGAAACGATACCATTTTCCAACAAGAGTGTTTCATTAGCATTCAAAGTAGAATGTGTTTTCGACTATAGTTATAATTGAGGATCTTTTGGCATAAGGAAACAGTATGTTATTTCGGACAATGTTAAAAGAAAATATATCACTACTAATTTTTTCATGCACTGAGTTTGATAGATAACCTCATCTATATTTTTTGTTGTGACCAGGTGCCCAATGTACTACCATATGAAGTTTGCATTTCTTGTTTGGCTCCAACTTCCTACTGTTGATGTAAGTTCAGTTTTATTCTTCTCTTTGGAGTGTTTGTATCAATACATATGGAAGAAGAATTATAAAGACACCTGTCTGTCACAAAATTCAGTTGGTCATAATTGTCTATTTTCTCTCCCCCTGTCTTGCGTTCACTTCTAGTATGTCATTGCAATCATCCTCATATTCAGACTCATTTTAACATCCTGGGAATTGTTACATAATATTGAATCATTTCACCCCAAAAATAAAAGTTCGTTGTTTAAATTTGTTTTCATCTTTCTGTTTTGGATTATATTTTTCCTTTGGTAGATCGGGATGTGATTTCACCAATGAAATTTTCTAATCTTAACCATTTTCCCCACCTACCTTACCACATGGGCTCTTATCCTGTGATTATTAACAAAATCGTGTTACTTAATTACTGTGCATATGATTGTAAAACAAAGCTCATTGCTTGTGAGAATCTGCTAATCTATTTTACGAAACATATTTTCTTTGAACTAGGTTGGTTTTACTTTTCAGTTGTCATATCAAGTTTACAGGTAGGTCTTGGCTGTCAGACATCAAAGAAAGGATTAGAAGTCGTTTTGAAATTCTATATATTATTATTCTTTTCATGATTTTTATCCAATTTTGTTGGAACATCATCTGTTAAAGATGTTGACAGACACTTGGACGAAAAGAATTGCATATTCATTTGGATATTTATGGGTGCCTTATCTGATGTGTATAGTTGAATTGTTGAGCCGTGTTCAGAATGCTTTGTAACGTTTCATGGCCAACTGTGGTTATGTGCATACTTACGAGATATTGACACAAGGAGAAAATTTTGTTGTAATTAACTACCTGCTTTCTTCTATAAAATGAATTAGTAAGTAATTTTGCCCCTTTTGCATCAGGGAGCAAAGCAGTTGTACACAAGCCATCTACGCCCGTTCTTTTTGAAGCATCAAGCTAGAATTGATCAAGTTTTGGGGCTCACATATGGCGAAGTGGTATTCCCTCTGTCTTTATATAGTATAGATAAATGAGTTTATTGAATGTTAATTTGGTAAGCACTAAGCAGGACCCCTGAAATTGTTGTTTTGGATCCAAATGAACTGCTATGGAAGTGCTCTTTGTTGTTTACACTTTGTGGACAAAATACTAAAATGTACACTCATTGAGGTATATTGGTTTCTATATTGCAGCATAAACTCCTTAGTGCACACCAAGCCGAGATCGAGTATGCTAGGGTTATGATCATGAAGATTTTGGGTTCAGGTGAGAATGATTTATCGCAACCTCACATGCCTGAAGTTTAGCTATAGTTTCTCTCCTACATAGGGATTGTATATAATGGAACGATATATCATTAGGTTACAAAGGCTAGTAACTGGTCCCTGTTTTTTAAACTCGCCAGTTCATTTTCGTTGATTACAGTTCGTTGCTCTCCCTTGTTTTTAACAGACCAGCCGCCTAATTCAGGTGTACCCCGGCAGAATGCGATTGAAGGCCAGATCAGACCGCCTAATCCAGACCTACCAGGGCAGAATGCGATTGAAGGCCAGACTAGACCAGCACCAGTTTCGGAGTCTGATCACGATGATTAGTGTTGTTATTAAAAAGAGAATTATTATTGCTTTTCGAATGTATAGTTTTGAAATTCTTTCCGGCGCAATATAGAGACAAAACTACTTCCCTTGAATTAGGTTGTCTAAAATCTTTTGTTTGTCCGTTGATTTGTAAAATCTCCGAAGTAGCGGAACATATTACTAAGAAAAACAATTTTGGGGTAAATTACTATTAGCATGTCATCTGTCGATTAGACAAATATCAAAAGGTGATTCATTTTTCTCCACTCTTTGAGATGAGGTGTAATTCAACATTGTGGACCTTAATGTGAGTGAAGAATGAAAAGTGATGCTATTTAGACACAAAAACGAACGTACTTGCTGACAAACTCTATAATACAAAAAGGTTTCACGTGTTGAAAAGTCTGGTGGGTAATGAATGCCCACAGTATATTAGTAAAAGTCTTCAGCATGGGCAGAAATTTTCAATGCCCATGCAAAGTGAAAGTTGAATGTGAAATTGTATAGTCAGACGAAGTATCATAAAATTCAAGATGCATTAACTACATCAGTTTGGAGTTGCTCTATAAATAGAGCACTCCGCATGTTTTTAAGTTACAAGGAAAAGAAAGAAGTGAACGAGAGAAAAATATCAGTAACATCATCTATTTTCTCTACCTTTATTTGTTATCCTCTTGTGCTATAGTTTTTGTGTGGCATTTTACATCTACCTTGCACCTACCACTAAAAAGGTTATCTCTCAAACTTTAACCCTTTTATAACGTCACGCACAATTTTGCATCCTACTCTTATTAGAGTCAGCAACTATCGGTTTTGTGCATCCAAATAGAACCTTTAAACGATTCATGCTATTTGGACCGCCTTTGGTGACTACATCTCTATTAGAGGTGGAAACCGATGTATTAGAAAGGTAGTCAGTAACTCGTTCAGTAAAGGCGGTCCAAATAGCAGCACTCTAAAGTTTCCAAACAAGAGCGCAAATCGGCCGACGCCGACGCCTACATTCGGGGGCATCACTTTAGATGAGTAGGGAAAGAGGAAAAATGGGGGACAAGAATACGAAGCCACAAATCGATTCAAAAACTACAAATACCAAATGGAGGTCAATCTATTATATACTCTTTCCAATGATACAACAATTTGCATGGTTCCCACTTCCCAGATGATCCAACTCAACAGCTAAGTTCACAAAGAAACGTTACTGTTACAGATAAAAGGGTTAAAAGTGTACAAATTAGTAAGGAAAACAAATTCTCTACGCTCAATTCGCAGAAGGGTCATGGCTTCCGGAGCTCTTAAATCTCTGTTACGGCGAGACTAATATCCCATCTCAAATGTTGCCCTCACCACCACCAGGCTGCTGCTCAAGGTTTGCTACTAAATCAGGTCCACATACTCGTGTCAATTCTTCCTGCATAGCAGCACAAACGTACTTTGTCAAAAGATCGACTGCACTCGTGCAACAGATTAGTGAAACATTTCGGGCAACTTGGATTGCTTTTAACGCATCATGCTAGAACTCTAATCAGCAAGGAATCTCTACCCGATGGATGTCATACAAGTAAAAAAAATAAGAACAAAGTGCAAGCGTGTAGAAACGGACCTTTATATTAGTATTCTCTGATGTAAGTTTCTCGCATTCCTCAGAAAGCCTGTGCAGCTCCTCTCTGAGGCTATGATTCTCATTGCTCAAAACCTCTACCCTTGCTTGTAGCTCTTCACACTCTGCCTGGAAACACATAAGAAACAGAAGAGCGATTTAGACATATGAATTATTTTTGTTCAGGTTTTAGCACATGATTATTTAAAACTTATCATCGTCCTGTAGCACGGGATGCATATCAAGAAAGGCAGATAGAACAAGAAATTCCTGTCAACAAGTACAGAAGTACACATGTACCTGCTTCCGTAATCTTGACCTCCTAGCTGACTCCCTATTCGATTGCTTTCTTTTCTGTCTTTTCAGTTCACGTTCGTCCTGTCAAAATCATGAAAATCAATGATGAGCTAAAACAACTACCAAAGTGCATTTTCGATTTTTAAGAAATATATTTATGAGTCACCATGACATGCCAATTTCAAAGTAAACAGAATCCAATTTCAAAGTACGAACTAAAAACGCCCAACATAACATGCCAAACAACTAGTCACGGTGACTACCAAAGTGCATTCCGTTTTACTACCAAACTCCTAGCTGACTACCTCTGCAAAATGTAAACGGAAGCCAATTTCAAAGTACAAACTAAATTGAATGAACAATAAATTTAAGTGTAATAGTTTTACTAACAAACCATTAAAGTTATTAACAAAAATAATACTTTCATTCAAATACAATCACACACATGTAGTCAGGTTTTCTCCTGGCAGATCTAACATGTTATTTTATTCGACTGTTATCTAGACCATTATTAGGTAGGATCTTGTTTAATTGTGCTTCCAGACTGGCAGTCTTGTGCCAAACTAAAATGCCCAACATAACATGTCAAACATCTAGACCGATAAAGTTTTGCATGAAAAACGAATAGTAATACTAAATAACAATTTAGAAGAAAAACAGAAAGACACGTACTTGAATCCAATGCTCACCACCAGCTGATGGGGCACCCGACAGATTTCCTCTCACTTTTGCTGCTCCAGCACCAGCAGGGGATGCATTCCATAAGTCCATTCCAATATTCAGATTAGTTCCAGGCATAGAGACAGGCTTCCCAGGCACTGAAGCCTGAATGGCCCCAGTGCTATTCTGCGCATTTGCACCTGAAAAATGAACTGTGAGAAAATCATTTCAGAAAATATAACATAAGCAGGCAGTAGTATGAACAAGATTAATATACCATCTGCAAGCATCTTGTCAAAGCTCCCCTTCTTGTTTGCACCATACTCCTACAGAGAAATTGGGTATGTTATCATTAGAAGGAAAAGGATGCATCATACAAAAAGAATGTTGTTAGGTTAATATGAAACTCTAAAAACGGCATCCAAGTTTAGATGTTTGCAAGCATAAAGTGGCCAATGCTAGTTTTCTAGATGGGCTTCAAAAGCTGCCAAACTCAGCTAGCCATTTTTAGGTTAATATGAAACTCTAAAGACGGCATCCAAGTTTAGATGTTTGCAAGCCTAAAGTGGCCAACGCTAGTTTTCTAGATGGGTTTAAAAAGCTTCCAAACTCTGCTAGCCATTTTAAATAGTTACCAATATCACCGATTAGTAATTAGATGTAATGCACATACACACCTGATGGTTAGCATTATCATCACTTCCATCGGAGGAACCCTCGCTACCACTTTCACCGCTACATCGCCAAAAACTTAGTCAGATCAAGGCACAGTGCCAATAGATAAATGTTCTGTGGAACACATGTCAAAAGAAGAGAACAATCTAAAAACTTGTCAAAAGCAAAAATCCAAAGCAAAGATCAGCACACCTTTGTGAAGCACCATCATTTCCTGAACCTGAAGTTGCCTTTCCACTCTCCACAGCCTTGCCACCAGCCAAACTTGCATTTCCTGCAGCTCCCTTGGTCTTTTTAGTTGAAACCCGCTCTTTCCCATCAGAACCCTTCCCTTCCAACTCCGGGGCTGGTTGTGGTGCGCCTGGAGTCTACAGAATAATTGGATAAAAGAAATAAGCTGATCAGGTAGAGATCTTCCTAAATAACAGAGTCCATTTTTATCAATGAAGACAGATGCACATGTAGAGGAATAGCATTATACCGTGACCATACTAGGATGAGCATAAACTCCACCTGGAGGATACATGGCCGGATATGGAACTGGAGTTCCATATGGCGGCATCATAGGATGCTGAAAAATAGTAAACAACAACAAAGAATAAAAACCACCTCTTTCTGGAAAAAGAAGACACAAACAAAAAGCAACCGCTCCCTAAGAAACATGTATGTCAGTGTATAATCCCAAAGCAAAAGACGTACCTGGGCTCCCCACATATAAGGGTGTGGAGTTGGGGAAGCAACAGTGGAGGCAAAAAAGGGAGGCGGGGTACCACCAGGACCATAATAAGCCTAAACAAGAAAGTTTTCCTTAAGCTATTAAACTCATTTATCAGGATATCAAATATATCTAGCTAGCTTACTTAAAAAAAAATTACATATTGATCCAGAATGTGTTTTCATCATGAACCTGCATAGGGCTGGACCAATCGGGATATGAAGGTGGTGTTGGTATTTCCTGCACAATCATCAGAAACAGATAAAAAACTCGAACTGCGATAGGATTGAAGACAAGGACAGAGGATGGAACTGAGGGAATTACCTGAGCTGTTGAAGCTTGTTTGGAAGGCTTAGGAGGAGTACCTTCTTCCCCTGTCCCCATTTTCTATTGGCTCAGCAAATACCCCTTTTAGTTCTAAATTTACTAGATCACGTTTATTCTTCAAAATAATCTATGAAGCACCTGATAGACACCATAATTAACAGTCCTCAGATTCACTAAGTACATGCTTAAATTTAACAGACACCAAAATTAACAGTCCCCAGACTCACTAATTACATGCTTAACATTTAACATCAGCAAAATCACTAATTCAATTAATAAAAAACAAATTACTTGCTCAATTGTTGAAAAAATTACATTCGAATTCTCAAGTATTTACTGTTCATCCGCACAGATTTGAAACTCAAAGCTACAAAATTTACCCAAAAGAGGATTAAATTACACCTACCCTTAATCCAAAATTAACTAATTTTCCCACATCAGAGCTCAAAATTCAAATCAACCATTACAATCAAAAGCTGATAGTAAATCAAATAGCAGCAGCAACAGATTGACTTATGCAAATAACACAGAAATCTATAAAAAAACAAAAACAAAAAAAACAAAACTGAGATGTTTGGCACAAATTGTAGAACACAAACACGAAATCGAAGGGCAACTAAGAAGAATCGGGCCAGGAGACGCGTGATTCGAGAGAATCATATAAGGAGAGAGAAAGAAGAGCTAGAGAGAGAGAGAGAGAGAGAGAGAGAGGCAGACCTGCTTTCATGGCGTTCAGAGAGAGTGAGGTGGAAGTCCAGGTGGAACACCACTTTATTTAAGATCAACGGCCACCAGATTAGGAATCTAGGGTTTTTGGATTTGGAGAGAGAGAGAGAGAGAGAGAAAGAGGGAGGCTGTGTCTGTGTGTGTCCGTTGGCTGCTGGGCTTTCAGTTTGTCGTTGTTTAGTTGGGACGGGGGAGTGACTGGATATGTTGTGTAGGAGGGTGATCCAGTGTGGCGGAGGTGTACCGGAAGAGAAGAAGGGGTTAGGGTTTGCCGGGGGAGACACATGCGAGGAAGAGGTGTCCAGCTGTCCACGTTTCACTGGATTAGATCGTGACGGTGCATATGCCACGATGACTCATCCTGACAACTACCTTTCTTTTATTATATTAATTAATTAATTAATACTTTATTTTGTTATTTATTTTATTAATTTAGCTTCTTCTTCATCCTTAATTGGCTGCCACGTCAACTTAAAAATAGTATGGCGATATCCATTGACACGCCCCAATCTTGATATCCTTCTAATACTAGGATGGGCACGTGCTGATCGACACTTGAGGGTGATGAAATCATTTTTACCATGCCTAAAAAGGAAATATGTAATCAGACAGAATATAATAATCCAGAACCGTGTTCAAAGTATACAACTAATTAACCAAAAATAATGTGAAAGAATTATTATAAAAAGGAAAGAACAAAAGAATAGGTCCTACCATGAGAAGTTTCCTGACACCAGGATTGTGTACCTCGATTCTAACTCCTGAGGGGGTGCAAAAACAAAAAATGTCAGTGGACCAAAGTTTATAATAATACTAATAATAAGAAAACCATTTTATTTTTTAACATACTTAACCCCTGTTTTCAAAACATATATATAGTACTACATAATATATTTTCTGAAACTCTAGCATGCTGTGAAATCATTTGTAAAACACGTATGTGTAAAATAATGCTCGGAGATGGTAGCAAAGTCACCTAAAGGCAAATTCGTAAAACCTCTGCCCGAAGGCAAATCCATAACTCTCATCGATATTGTACTCTTTAGAGGTATCATAGTCGCCCAAAGGGAGTACATGTCCATCATCCGAAGGTGAAGCTGTACGACACTAGGTTATGCTAGTGAAGAAACCATGGTCCATCACCTAAAGGTGAAGCTGTACGACTCTGGGTTACGCCGGAGAAGAGGATATATAACATCACACATCGACATTAGCCCGGGGCTAGTGAAGTTGGGGGGTATATCATCAATATCATCAACTCCTCATTCACCCAAATGCAGTACTTGTCCATCACCCGAATGTGAAGTTGTACGACATTGGGTTACGCCAGTGAAGAAACCATGGTCCATCACCCGAAGGTGAAGCTGTACGACTCTGAGTTACGCTAGATAAGAGGTATATACATAAATCTCCTCAACTGTGTCATATGGCCATAAACATCAACATACTTATGTTGTGTGGATGTGCTGTATGATAACCCGCTAGATAAGCATCGAAAACATACCTCAAAATTTCATATCCAAATCCGGAGCTCAAAACTCAAAGTCACATCTAATAAATCCATACAATAAATCATATCTGAAAGTCATAAAAATTTATATACGAGAATCCAATAATTTATATCCTTGAGTAAAACAGAATTTCAATCAATCATAAATAATGCCTAAAACGTTAAATCATGAAATCATGTTTTTCGTGAATGCAAGCTTAATATTTTATAAAACCATGCAAGTTAAGAAGAGGTTCATTCACAGTATTCTATCACCCGTAAGCCGCTTGAACTAGCAATGATGGCTTCGCTTCTTACCAACGCACCTAAACACAAAGAGAGGACATTTTAATAAAGCTCTACTAAAACAGTCGAATTTCAAGAAATGAGCAGCAGATTTGGATTTGGCACGTCGAAAAACCTAAGAAGGGACCTCGGGTTCCCCCATGCGCCGCAACAAGGAGGCGGCCTGGAAGGCTGCATGCTGCCATACGCTGAGTTAAGTCGTCGAAAAAGTCGCCGGCACAGCCGTGGACAGTGGCAGAGCATAGTACCTCCAATGGAGGCGCGTGTGCTTTACACGCCGAGCATGGAACCTGGGCTGGAGTCCGGGTTGGATTTGGGCTTGGGTTGCTACATTGGGCCTGGGTTATTGGGTTAATGGGCCAGGTTATTGGACTGGGTTTGGGTCGGTCATTTGGGTTAATGGGCCAAGGGTTAATGGGTTGGCCAGATTGCATGGCCCAATATTTTGGCCCTGTTTTTAATTGGATTTGGGCCTGGAATATCAAACTGGGTTGGGCTAGTTTTAGGTTGCGGGTTAGGTTTGACCTGTTTATGTTCGTGGGTCGCCATACCCAACGAAGAAGAAGGTCGGATTTTGGCAGGGAAATTCTTGTGCTCCGATCGAGCTCAAATCTCAACCAAACTTTACAAATCAATATATCAAATTGAACCCCGAGAGACAAGGAATCAAAAGATACCTTTCTCATGGCCAGCCGTGGCCAGAATACAAGTTGAAAGATGCTGGATTTCTTGCCGAAAACTAGAAAATCCTTCCTGAGCTCATTTTAGTCCTAAACCAATCCAAAACACACAAGCGTGCTCAAAATCGAACGACAAGGATGAATAGATAAGGTTTAGAGTATTCCCGAGGCTTACCTTGGGCGGGATCGTGGAGAACTTGCCGAAGCAATTTCAGGAATAGTGGTGGTGCCACTGTGCAGCTAGACAGAGAGAGGATGAGGTATTTCAGCCGATTCAAGGTCGTGGTGGAAAGGTCCAGATAATGGTAGTGTCGCTAGAGAGTGAGCCACAATGGTGGGGGTGATGGTTCTTGGTGGTTGTAGAGATGGGGGAAAAAGAGGAAGAGAGAGAGAGGTATCCGGAAGAGAAATGAGAGGGAGAAGATTCTAGAAAACCGGGGAAAGAGCTGCCACGTGTTAGCTCGGGGGTGGTCAAAGGTGGAAAATATCTCTACTTGGAAAATTACCAAAATACCCTTATTGTTCCGCGTTTTGTAAAATCTTCGTTTTAAGCTCCAAATTCACTTCCGCTTACGTCCACACATTTGTAATGATGAGTACTACGAGGCTATGCCAAGGGAATGAATCTTACGTGACACGACAATGCGGTCAACAAAAGTCAGCTTTTTTGCCTTGGAGGGCATTTTTGTAAATTCGCACATTAAAATTATAAAAACCGTAATATTTGGGGACAAGTCATTACATTTACACATCGTCTTTCACACTCTCTTAATTTCTGACTCACTGGATCAAATGAATTGAAGGAGATGATAAAAATTAGCAAGAGTGTAATAGAAGTAAAAAATAGTGTGAATACCACTCCCTAAAAATATTGAATTTCAAAAGTACCATGATGTTTTAATTTTTTTTCATTTTAGACTTAAAAATTGAGAAGTAAAAATAAATGTGTGAATAACACTCCTAACAATATTGAATTTCAAAATGGACTGTGAAGTTTAAATTCTTTCATTTTACACATAAAAATATTCAAATTCTCTCACTTTACGTTTATAGTTGGATTAATTTTTCATTATATTGGCAACAATGAGAATGATACTCTCATATGGACTAATGTGTAAGTTATATTTGTATTATCTTGACAAATGATATAAATTAATATAATTTTAAAACTTTAGGTGTAATGTGAAAAATTTAGAACCACATACCCAAGGGCGGAGCGAAGAATTTTTTCTTGAATGGGCTAGTTCAAATTTGTACAAAAGCATATATTCATTATTTTGTTTATGTAAAATTATATAATAATCAACACGAATCAAGAACAATGAAATATAAACTATTCTCAAATCGTACTCTAATAGACAAATTCAAGGACAATATAAATAATTAACCTACTAATTAAATAAATAAAAAATAAGTAAACAAAGAGATTAAGAACATACTAAAGGTGATATTTATTGGAAAATCTCAAAACGAAGTATGGAAATTGCAGAGGCAGGATTTAATGGTCGATTAAAATGAAAAATTCTTTTTCCTTTCCTGAGTACAAATAGGATAAAAGGATGGACAAGGGAGAGAAAACTTATTTATTATTTTTAGTATAAAAAATATTATTTATTACCTATCATACACTAAATAAACATTAAATAAAACTTAGATATGAGGCCAAATTCAATGAGTACAGGAGCCAGGAAATTTCGTTTTTTGTTTGGAAAATTGTTGGTACATTTTTGCAATTTCAAGCACGAATGACTTCAGATTGTGGAGGCATTGTGTGATATTTCTCTTACTATGTCTTTGATTAGACACATTGTGGAAGATATCAAGGTGCTCCTCCATTTAATCACTAAAGGTAAAATTATCCATACTCGTTGCCAAACAAACTCGGTTGCCCATCGCCTTGCAAAAATTGGTCTCTCGGTGCAACAAGACTATCGAATGGTATTCCCCCAAGTATTGCCACTGAATGTAATGCCATGATTGGCTCTTAAAATAAACATTTGTACCGAACCACTTTTGAATTTAATGAGTTCTACTACCGTAAATTTTATTTTTCAAAAAAAACTTGCACGAATATAAGATCTTCTACGTACATGAGAACTATCATAGCATATGATTAGAATTGTTCGACTATTAGCTTCTCAATTTTTTGATGAAAATATGATTATTGCATTGTTAGATTGATCTATGTGTTGGTCAACTCGTGTTCGTACATGGACATGACATAATTACAATTTCGTGAAATTGAACACGATTGGTACCATCTGTATACATACAATGTATGATGATGGAGTGTATTGAATCCAATCATGTTATCACATGTGTTAGGGACTTTCTATTCCAAATCCCAATTCTTGGAATGAAAACGATATATTTACACACGTGTTAGGAGGTGTGGTCATAAATTGGTTTTAAACTTGTCATTCACGATATTTGAACCTAAAATCTCACTTACAAGTAAAAAAAAGAAAAAAACACTACTGTAGTACTAAGTGGGGAATTAGAAATCAGATTTCTGGTGCAAAAGCGATTGTAGTTGAAAGGCTCTCAAAATTTTCTTTTAAGGACCCACACATGGTGTTCTATAAGATAACACACTAACTACGAATTCGATTCTCTCATTTCTGTATCATGTACAATACTCTTTCTTTCTGTTTTTGTATCTTTCAAAAACTCTAGATACACGCAATCACTTGCATCTTCTTTACCTATAAAGTTTTTTTTTTTACCCTAATTAAAGTAGCTTTTTACAAAAATTCACAATGATGTGATCACTTAGTCAACATATAAGATAACACCACTAAGCCGCCCTCTAGTTAAAAAGGGAAACAAAATCCTTATCTGCAACCCTACTTTCCACCCAAAATTTGTACACCAAAAGAAGCTCACATAATTCATCAGAACCAGCAATTCAAGCATCAGAAAAAAAGAGTCACTGTGACTAATCACGTTAACTTGCACGAAACATTTCATTACTAAAATATGAGTTTGCTTAAGCGGCAAGCCAGCATCGGAGCTTCGTACGATATAAAAAAAATCCAACAGTTTGAGCACAGAACTGAAAGTGTGCTAGTGATCAAAGTTCAAAACATAGCTTTGATTTCAGAAGAAATATTCAACTGCGAAAACGAGTACAAACTTTGTTTTTTTTTGTTTCTTTGAAGTTGTGTATGCAGTTCCTCTCTAGCCTCTAGTCTCTATCTATTTTTATTCGATGGTTCCTAACACGATGTATCTGTACAGTTGCTTGTAACACAAGTTACAGAACAACAGTTCAGCTCAGGAGCCCTGGCTGTGTCTACCCTAATCTCTATATCTGTGGTTCTACTCTGTATCCTACAAAACTTGAGCTGACAACCGATCACTCACGCACCGCTACAGGTCGACAGCAAAACAAGAAGAAACTTGATCTGCACTTCTTTCTCCTTTTAGCTTGCTTTTTCTTTTCGGACTTGTCAATCATATGGACTTCGGGAGGCTCTTGTTCCTTCACGTTGCTCTCTTGATGTTCAGCTTCCGGCACATTGACTGCTGGAGGTTCCGTCTCAGCTGCACACAGTTGCTTGTGATAGTTGGAAAGATGGCTCGTGATCTCCATGAACTCAGGTCGGATCCTTGGGTCATCTGCCCAACAGGACTCCAATAGCGGCACGAGGTCCTGAGGAATGTCGTCCAGCTCTGGCCGTATTTGCTGAAAGCACAAAGAGAAGTCATCCACCAACAGTCATTCAACTTCTGAAAATATGTTTTTTATGTACACTCGGTCCATCCCCAGAAAAATCAAATTCTTAACTAAAGAAAATTTCAATAAAAAACGTCAGCTAGCAGATAATGTTGTTAGTCATCTTAAGGCATCTCAAAATAATCAAGCACCATATAATGGAAGTGAACTAAATCTTAAAAGAGAATACAGATAGGAAAGCATTCAAGTACTTGATATAGCTATTGGATAGATTTTCGGGTTTCTGGTTCATCAGTTTCTGTTTGAATGACATTCATAGGACTTACATTCGCCGATGCATATGCAACCAATATATTAGTCCGTCCAGAGAAAGGAATTCGGTTTATAATCAGTTCCCACAGAACTATCGAAAAGCTGTACACATCTGCCTTGTGATCATATTCCTTCTTCGTTCCTTTTGGAACTGGCTCCTTGCTGAATAGCTAAGTCAGATAAAAAGAAAAATACAATTAGCTATTTTATGAATATTTTGTTGTTGTTGCAGTATATGCATGAATAACGAACGAAGAAACACAAAAACTGAAAAAAGTGCACCTCGGGAGCCATCCATCTGTAGGTCCCAGCCTCAGATGTCATGTCCCCGGATATTACCTCCCTTGCGTGGCCAAAGTCAGCCACCTTAATCTTGTTCAGGTCTTCTGTAAGGAGTAGGTTGGCTGGGGAAAAAAATAAGAGTATCTGTTAGAATTAAATTCCTTCGGTAAACGATGTTTAAACCCTATTGTTCAAGAATTAGAACTGAGATGAGTATGCAAAACCAAAAGAAAGCATGATGAATTTACATATGCATTTCTGGCAAATGTTCAAAACTAAAAATGAGTAAATTTTTTTGTGGATCTATGAATGAACTCCTTTACAGTTACAAGCGGGACATGTAGCCAATCCAAGCGCCTGATCAATTGGTCCCCTTGTCAAAATAAACTCAAACAACTAGAACAAAAAGGAAAGAACAAGGAAAATGAACAATAACCTGGTTTCAGGTCACGGTGGATGATTCCATTTGCATGCAAGTATTCCATAGCTCGACATACATCTATTGCAAAACTTATTGAACATTTGAGATCAAGTGTTCCGGGGCGCATTCCCCACAGGTGCTTCTGAAGGTTGCCTCCTCTCAGAAGCTCAGTAAGAATTATCATCGAAGGTTCAAAGCATGCACCTACGAACTGTTTCAGAGCATTGACTTATATGAGCATATGCACTAGGGGCATTGACCATGAAAATATACCTATCAGGAAAATGAGTACTACAAACTGATATGACCAAGCTTTAATAAGCTACACATACGAATCTAGATACATGTAGAAGGTGAAAGACAGTAAAACTGAAAGATTTAAAAACCAAAAATTTATTAACATTTATTACTTAAATTTAGCTTTCCAAATTACTGTTATCTCTGTATCCATCATAGTTTTAATTACTTAAGCCAGTTTGCTGAAGCTAACAGGATCACAAAATTGAATACCACTTTAGGAACAGAAGCGCAGTGATTTCATTTCTCCAGGTCAAGATTTCATCTGACCTGGATATAAATCGATGAAATATATTTCTTGAAACCAATGGTCAATTTGCATAAGGATATTGCTCACAAATGGGAGAAAATGATTTCCAAGAAATGATGAGTGTAAATATTTATATTAATAACAAATGCAGGCATAAGGAAAAAAAAAAGAAAAAAAAAAAGAGGAATGAGCATCATACCTTGACAATATTTTCATGTTTGACTTTTGCAAGCAATGAAACTTCCCTCAGGAACTTTTCTTGGCAATCAAGACTAACTTCTGTTGTTTTGGGTGGCCGTATAATTTTTACAGCAACTGGCTTGGATTGGTACCTAGAAATATAATTTCGAAAGCTTCAGCAATCTAAAATCCAGGACATAAAATTCCTCAGTTTCAGCATATAGATTATGACTTATATTCTTACTTAATCAGGACAAATATATATGATTGATTTATTAAATTAAGCATTTAATTAAGATGTCGTCCCATATTAATAGGTTTTAGAAAATTGTTTAGTGTAAAAAAAAAAAAAAAAAGCCCTGCCACAAACATCTACTGCTGCCATTGACCATTAATGTTTTTCATGCACGGCAACAGAGGGATAAAGTTTATGTCAATGACATCTATGTCGGACTGCTGCTTGCCCAGAAATTTAACCTCCAGGTGCAATGAATATGATAACTATTAAATAAACTATGTAAATGAATCTATGAAAAGGCCTGGCCAAGTAAAAAAAAAAATCTAAAGATATCCTTCTTTTCCAAACTCTCTTTGATCATCTCCCATTTTCCACCTGTTGAAAAGACTTGCCATAAACTTATTGATTCTCTAACGTCTTTATATCTAAATCGGATACTGTAAAGAATAAACTGATATCGCATCACCAAAGAACAAATATCAGCAAATAATTCTGTCCGTCCTGTATGTGCCTAAAACTGTTGATTCTTTACTAACTTTTATACCTAAACTTAAAAGTCCAATAGTAATCTGATCTCTGCAACTGATTATTACATCCTCGAAGACCACCAAGCCAAACGATGATAATCTCGTTAAGGGGTAAGCAAATGTTTTTATCCTGAGAGAAGTTTGAAGATGAGAATGAAAAGCACAAAAAAGGATCTATGATTAAACAGTTCCACTGCATATGCTTAGGTGTACCCTAGTAATCAGGTGATCTATGATCCAGAGGGAGGAACAATTTGGATGATCTAAAAGGGGACAATCGAACCAATGGCTTCTAGGTTGTAAGGTCGCTGTTAGTTGAATCCACCCATGCCCACTGACCCCCTCACCACCTCGTCTCCTAATCCCCAGGCTACTGAAACATAAAGAGCACAGAAAATAAGTGCAGTGCCTCTAAATTAAAGCAGAAGATTACCTGAACTATATAACCAATGGTTTCTCATCTGCAACCTCCCACACATAATTATGTATCTCCCTATTTAAGGTACGATTGCTAGAGTAATTCATTAAAAATCATCTTACATGACTCACTAGTAGCAACAGAGTGATGATTTGCAGACAAATATGGGAGGACTTGCCCACTATTGGACAATTATAACTGGACTGAACCTATCATAATGAAATTATCTATCCCTCCTAAACACTAAATCTTATATGCTAACAAATGAATAGACTTCAAATGCAGAACATCTACATCCATTTTGGGCATTCAAAATCACGATCAGTCGAATCTACATTAACAAAACTTTTATCCCTCCTAGGCTTAGTAATAAATGGACTCCAAAATCCAGAGTGATCACATCCACCATGGAGCATTTATCAAAAAAAAGTTAAAACCGATGATCAATGATCTATCTCAATAACGATTCTCATCAATAATATATACTTTATATGTGTTCTCCTATACACTGATACAAGATCACCTCCAGCAGGAACCCTCCAGTTCAAATTTAATGAAGATTCAAAGGTAACAAAAAGTTAAAGCAGAAACTTCAACTCAAAAACCCACAATTCCCTTTTGACTCGAAAAGGGTTTATCAATTATGAGAACCACAACTCCAAGATCGGAATATAAGTCAACACTTGCCACCATAAACCCAAAAATCATCAAAAACCCTCAAAAGGGTTTATCAAAAAACCTCGATTTCGAAACTAACACAACTAAAAAGCCAACTCAAGCAGCCAAGCCAGCACCAAAAGCACCACAATTCAAGAACATGCAAACAATGTGAGCAACCAAAATCAAGACGCAAAAAACCCAAGAAAAAAAAAAAGCACAGAGCAAACAGATACAGAGAAGAAAGTGTTAATGGGACCCACAATCCTTCATAAACAATAGCTCCAGGCCCTTCTCCGAGCACAGAACCAATCTTGATGCAGCTGGGGTCAATCAGAATGCTGGGGTCGAATTTGAAGGCGAAGCTGGCCTTCCCCGCCGCATTCCCCTCTCCCTCGCCACCGTTCTCGGCGTTCTCAACAGGGTCCTTCTTGTACAGGTCGATGAACCCGCCTCCCTCTCCCTCCATTGCTGGCAACCCCAGTACTACTTCTGCTGCTATTTGCATTTTGCACGGAGATAGAGTTAGAGAGAGAAAGCTAGAGAGAGAGAGAGGAAGCGATAAAGACAGAGTCCAAGGAAGTGGTTTTTGAGAGAAATAAATTCCAAATTATATAGCAGAAAATTAAAACCCGAAAATCATATAAATGGAAAAATTATGTGTCCATTTAAAAGCTGTGCGAGAAATGCGAGGGAAAACTTAGGAAACTTATGCTGCATTTTTGGGAAATAAATAATTTATTCCTAATTCGAATAATAAATAATTAATTTCGGGAGTATGATCCGCTGCGGGTCCGTCGCGCGGGGTTGGGTTTCAGGTTGCCGCGTCGACAAGGAAACGAATTTTGATTGGTCCAGCGCCGGTTCTTACTGTTTTTGATTTCGTTGGATATGACTTGTGGCAAGTATGTAAATTTCGAGGAATAGTGGAAGTATTAGGGTGTGCGACAACCATAATTTAATTCAGAAATAAGTACATACTGTCATGCGATTTTGGTTTTTGGGCAAGTGTACGTGAATGAAAGCTTTGTATGTGCTGATGATTATTCTATGTATATATTGTATGTACGTCGAATGTTAATTAAGGTTTTGTATGCACTGATTTGTATATTGATTATGATTTATATACATGGCAATGATGTATGTTAATAAAAGTTTTGTATGCGTCGCCTATTACGTCAATTTTTGTTTCTACATACGTCGAACGTGAATCAAAGCCTAATATGTGCCGATTAGTATACCAGCTTTGGTTTATACGTGCGTCATGCATGAATGAAAGCTTTTGTATGCGCCGATGATTATTTTACATGGAGATTTGTATGTACGTCATAAGTTAATAAAGGTTTTGTATGTGCCGATTTGTATATCCATTATGGACTATACACATGACAGCGATGTAAGTTAATGAAAGTTTTGTATGCGCTAACTATTATGTCAATTTTTGTTTATACGTCGAACGTGAATCAAAGGTTTTTGTGCGCCGATTAATATACCAATTTTCGTTTATACATACATCATGCATGAATGAAAGCTTTGTATTAGCTAATGATTATTCTATACAAGTATTGTATGTCGTACTTTAATAAAGGCTTTGTATGCTCTAATTTGTATATCAATTATGGTTTATACACATGATGTAGATTAATAAAAGTTTTGTATATGTTGATTATTATGTCAACATTGGTTTATACATATGTCGAACGTGCATGAAAGCTTTGTATGTGCCGATTAGTATATCAATTTTGGTTTATATGTACATCATACATGAATTAAAGTTTTGCATGCGCCGATAGTTTAAGTCATAAGTACGTGGATTGAAACTTTGTATGTGCCAATTATTATACTAATTTTGAGTCACAAGTATGTCGTACATAAATGATTAGATGTTGCGAGAACGAGATTATATATGTTTAGTACATACAATAATTTTTTCTTTTGAAATAGTCAATTTGCTAGAGTAGGTGATTATTGGTTTCGATTAATATGTTTAGTAGGGAACCACAATTAAAAAAGGTGTAAGGCTTTGCTGAAGTAGGGCAGTTTTGTAAGAGTACATCCTACGCCGTGTGTAAATGACTGGATGTTGTGAGAAAGACGTTAAATTTTGTTTCAAATTAGTTAATTTGAAATGAACAATAATGTAATGGGAACATGATGTGCCATATTGTGGTTGGTATATACGAGAGGAAATCGAATGTTGCCTCAGTTTCTAATAGTAACAAAAGCAACCCTACCCACCATGCTGAAAGACTTTCTTTGGCATAAAAATTAAGCAGATGGTCGTATGTTTACACAGTAATACATATTGATTAGTTCAACTACTGCATTGGTCAGTGTCAATCTTGTGTGGGCGCGTGATTTTTGCATAATTGCATTATAACATATTTACTTTACTGGTACATTAAGCTTCAATGTTGAGAGCATTTGTAATTGACGATGTCACACACCCACACTACTATGCTGATGCTGATGCTGATGCTAGCATAACTCATTCAACTCTATGACTAGCTATAAGCTTTGATTGCAGATTAGAGGAAAGGGGAAAAAATAGAGAGATCCAGTTGGAGCAAGGATTACTTGTATCAGGTCTTACCTGTCATATATCCATGTTTAGTCCGACAAAGGATTAAAGGGGAAGATGTATGTGAAAAACAAGGGAGATGCTGGGATTATACTCGAAGGTCGGATAGGATAAATACTCGTCGGATAACACTAAATTAATCAAGCGTTTAGTGCAATATCAAACTAATGACCGTATTAATAGGATCGATTATGTTTTATTTTTTAATTACCTGTTAATAGTATTTTTGAAATGATTATTCAAATTAAAAAAAAAGAAATTCAACAAAAAAAAAAAAAAACCAAAACAAAAGAAACCCAGAGAGAGACGAATAAGGAAGACGAAGTGCTCGCAGATTCTAGATCCCTTTGAAACCCATACCAAACGAAAATCACAAACTGATCCATCAGTAGAAAAAATAACAAATTATAAGAATCACAGATCCATCAAATAGAAAAAAAATCACAAGCTAAAGGATACAAGACAGGGAGAGAGGAAAAAAAAAGGAAAATTGCAGGAAGAGGAAGACGATGAAGATGAAACGAGAAAACACCCATGAGGAAGATGATGCAATCAGGTGTGAGCAGGAGTGGTTCCCCTGATTTTAGGTCTGAATCTTGAGCAGCAGACGCGAGATGACGAAGCAGATGCGAGAGGGGTGCGAGACGTGTTTTTCAGTTTTGAAGCCGACTAATTATACCGAGCTTTTTGAGCATACTAACTAGCAGGTATGAGGCGTACCAATCAACTTGGACCGGATTAATTAATCCGACAACTATTTAGTACACAAGTCTCTAAACTTTATTTTTAATTCTATCCGATGCCTAATACGATGTGCCAAACGAGGCTTTAGAGTAGTAAACAGATAGATGATCAAGGTACATGTAAAATATAAAATCAACTTGAAGCAACTGCAAATAACGCGATTATTAAATATGGTTGTTTTGTTCGGAGATAACTTGTGCGTTGTTGCAAATCATCGACCCGTCCGTTGACTTGTTCCTGTAATTGCGGTTGCTCCTCCTCCTCCTCCTTGAGCGGCTGCCCCTCCCCCTCCTTGAGCGACTGCCTCTCGTCCCCCCCTTAGATTTGGAATTTTTACCTTGATGAATTCAAGAGCAAAGGGAAGATCTTCTTCAAACGAGTATGCTCGTCCTCCTCCTCCTTGAGCGACTGCCTCTGTTACTATTTTTCTCTTCAAGAGTCCAAGAGCTGAGGGAAGATCTTCGAACCAGGTGGTAAACACGTCGTGGTAGGCCAGCCAAGCTGGCAAAAGACCTCCTTCGTTATAAATATTTTGCTCTAGCGATCTCAGTATATATTTGACGATGTACTCTTGGGAGCTGACTTTAAGTTGATTAAACGACTCGACGAATCTTCGAAATCCTCCTCATTCTCTCCGCGGAGTTTCTCTGTTGTGTCACCTTCTTCAGCTTCACCGAGAAGTACTTCAATGGAGCGGATTCCTGATTTGTTGGTCTTGAACCAAATAACCGACAAACCAAAGTAAAATTCAGCATATCGCGAGGAGAAATTATTGTGTGATACTGAAATACCACCGTGTTTGGCTTTATTGATCTCTCGATTGCCGGATGTTTGCAGCATACTTGTGAGATCCCATTTCGCAACTTGATTCTGATCCCAGAGGGAAGGATGCGTAGTACAGAGCTTTATAAAGCTTCTGACCCTGAAATCCTCCTCACTTTCTTCTGAGTTTCTCGGTTATGACATCTTTGGTATATTTGCTTGAATAGTACGTTTCCATTAACCAATCAAACAATTGTTCTATCAGATTTTTCCGACCGTTGGAGCCTAGTTGCCTGAACAAAAGAGTTAAGTCATGCAACTTTCTTTCACATAAGAATTTGTTTGAAACTTCGAAAAGCATAGCAGCTCGGGTTCTTAACCCGACTTTGTGAACTTGGCTTGCGAACGTTCTCACTCTGAAATCTCCCTCACTTTCTTCCACCTTTCTTTTGATGATCTCAACCTTTCCACCAGCTTCACCGGAGATTTCTTCAATTTTCCGTTGTTGGTCAATGGGGGACAGTAGGCTAAATCCAAAAGTCAAGAGATAGGATAGTATTCCATCAATATCACGGACATGTCTAGTCCTATGGTGAGATTCAAGCAGTTCCTCTTTGACCGTATCAATCAAACACACTTGAATACCAAAGGGAAGTGCTTTCGTGCGCAGAAACTCTGAGAATTTTCTGAGTCTGAAATCCTTCTCACTCTCTCTGCTCTGATCAATTATATCGCTAACTGATCTCTTTAGCACCCTTTCCTGACGACTCACGCTTTGTCCCTTGAACCAAACAATTGAGAAACCAAAAAAAAACTCATCAAAACGGAATTGCCAATCCGAACTAGTTTCCTCTTCGGCAGTCCTCTGTTTATCTTTCGTTTCTTTTTCTGTTCTTCCATGCAGGGGACAAGAAGCTTATGAAGATAGTCGGTATAATCTCTCGACAGCTGTGAAAATCTTCCGAGTATGGCATTTTCATCACTGGTTTTGTCATAATCAGCTGTGACATGAACAATTTTACCAGTCACTTCTTGTTGTTCCTTGAAATCTAGTTGAGTACTGAACCAAGAAATCAGTTCGCCACATTGCCCATCGCGCTTGAATTTCTTTACAACTTTGGAAAGGAAAATATCATGCTCAGAGAAGGGAAGTTTCTTGAATAGCTCTGTGAAAGTTCTGACTCTCAAGTCCTCCTCGCTTTCTTCGGGGAGTTGCTCGAACACTAGAACACCTTGTTGAACTAGTTTATTACGTACTTCTTCTGTCGTCTGTAGTTGATCACTAGCGGATAGTTGGCTGTATCGAAAAATTGAAAGGCGCAAAAGTAGTTCAGCAGCATCAACGCTATCAATATACATTGCTAAATCAGCCTGAAGGCGGAAGTCCTACAAGCTCCGGTTTCTTATCCTTATGTTCTGTTAAAAAACATCAATGTTAATTTCGTCAGAAGGAAGCTGATTTAAGGTCCATTTTTCTCAGCTTGTGCTTGTAAAAGGTAAAGATTTGAAACGAAATAGAAACGAAGTTTATTTTATTTACTGATCTGTTCTAATTCCTACTCTATTTTCTGCCTGAATTTGAACTTTAATTGCCATTTCTCCTAACCCTCAAATGCATCAACTAATTTATTTAAGAAAAGCAACAAACCGAAAAATGTTTTTTAAGGAAACGTACCCCGTGATCTTGATTCAGCTTTTTCAAGTCTTTCTACAGAGAGATTCAACACTCCTTATTCGAAACCAATCCGAAGTAGCGTTCTAAATTCTAGCACCCTTCAGATTAGAGGGCGGTTTAAGACATCAATTATTAACTTTTGTTTTGTTTTATATTGAGTATTATAAATGGAAGATTTTTACTTGATGTGTATTTAATACGGGTAAAAAAGTTGCACTATGCTATTAAATATCATGCATGTTTCTATAAAAACAAATCTTTATCAACGTGAAGAGACCCTCCTGAAAAATTAGGAGAAAAAGCCTTCCATAGTGATCATGCTACACACGTATTGCTTAAGCGGTAACATTACATATATGTTTATATGTGTGTGTGTGTGTGTATATAATTTGTGTACCTATACATATGTACATAAATATGGTACCATTTGGTACGCAGACGGGATGAGACGGAATGGAATAGGACGGAACAGGACGGAACAAAGATTTCGTGTCATGTTTGGTATGTGTAAGATAGAATGGGACGAACGGGATTAAATGATTAACTTACCCTTTTTATTTGACTCTGTCTTTCCTGTCTCTCTCTATTATCTCTTCTTTCATATGTTTCTTGTTCGTCGCATGCCCAGATTGCTCCTAGTAAAGAAAAGGATTAACGTCAACAGCATTGCAATAACAAATGCTTAACCCAAAATTTGATCAACCACTCCATTAACATAATCCAGAAATTATTCAATTTTATCAGAACTAATTGGCATCCCAGAAAACTCACAAATCAAGCCCCGCTTCACAGAGAGGAAGAACACAAAACACCCAACCCATAACCCAATCTACTTCTGCAAACCCTCCAAAGTTATATACCTTTGTAAGGAAAATCAAATCCCAAAAAAATCAAAAGGTTTCAAACAAAATTGATAAGGAGTTTCAAATTCACACACGAAGTTCCATACTTTTAGCAGGAGAATAAAATGCAGCATAGTCCAATCACAAATTCAAGTGTTTTTGCATCATGGGTACCAATCGAAATCAAGATGAACATCTCAAACCGATCGAAACCAAATTTTACAGCCGGAACCAGAAGTCGAAGCTGCGCGTCAATGGACACCAACTTCTCCAGATTCCTGTTAGCCATTGCTCCCCACTGAGCCTCACTATGCAGACCACTAACCCACCACAAAACAAAACACAAAAATTCAGAACTTGACAATATACAAAATAAAAACCCAAAAAAAGGAATTTGAACAAATGAGACTGAAATCTCGGATTGGATCAAAACACAATGGCACAAAATTCTGGTTAGGACCTAGAAAAATAGAGCCTGTAAAATGGAGTAATCAACGGGCAAAAGCCACGATGCGAAGAAGAAACCAGAGAAGGACGCACGCGAAGAAGAAGAACTCAGCGAGAGGTTTGAGGGCTTTCAGGAGAGTGCCGCTGTGAGAGCATCTCATCAAGCAACCTTCCATGGCAGCATTCTAGAGACCGTGGCATTAACTAGGGAGGAGGGAGGCGGCGAAAGGAAGCTGGGATTGGGTTTGAAGAGCGGGAGGCTAAGGGAGGGAGAGAGAGAGAGGGTAGAGAGTGGAATTAATGACAAAGAGGAGGGGTATTGTTGTTCGAAAAAATTATAATTTTGTGTTCCATAGGCTGGAACAAACCGTTCCCCGTGGAGGGGGGGGAGAGGTGGAATGAAAAAATGGCTAAAACTCATTCCACTGGACATTGGGTCCCAATCAATTTGGCGTACCAAACGTGGGACGGAATGCCTCGTCCCACAGCGTTCCGTCCCGTCCCACGTACCAAACGGTACTTATGGTATCGTTTGGTATGCAGACGGGACGGAATGGGACGGGACGAGACAGGACAGGACGGAACGGAACGGAGCTGGAGCAAAGATGCCCTCGGATGGAAACAAGGAGGAAGAAGAAGGAGACGGAGAGGTTATAATTTTCTGTTCTACGGATGTGGAACGAGTCGTTCCAGGGGGTGAGACAGAACGAAAATTCACCCAAAACTTATCTCATGGAATAGCTCGTTCCACCCATTTTAGGCACACCAAACTTGGGACGGAACGTCTTGTCTCACTCTGTTCCGTCCCGTCCCACGTACCAAACGGTATCTATATGCACCTATATATACATCGATGTACCTTTACATATGAACCTATGTATATATTTGCACCTAGTCTGCATATTAGTTCATTTGTTTGCACAAATTTTTATATATAGTTCTTTCTCATTAATATAATGTTTTTAAGAATCTTCCATTTTAAATTGCTAAATCTGATTTGTAGAAATCAAAATTCTTTTTTTTAAGGCCTAATGGATGATTAAATTAGGAATTTTAGAAACAAAATTTGAAAATAATAAAAGTGGGCAAAAATATTTAAAGTTCGTTTCAAAGTACCTTTAAAATGACTGAAAATATTTTTATGAAAATGTTTTTTTTTAAAAACAATTCTTATTAAAAGTTCAAGTGGGTCGAGAAAAAAGTTTTTAATTGCTTCTTACAAAGAGCACATATCTTGTGCTTCTTCTAAAAAGTACTTAAATTATTTTTGGAATCCAAAATCAATTTTACCAAAAACTTTTTTAATTATTTTAAAAGTACTTTGAAACGAGTCCTTAATTAAACTAATAATGAGTTTTAAATTTAGGACTAAAATTAGATTTATAAAAACATTCCGATTGTAAAAAGTAATCTAATTTAGGCCCTAAGTCTAAATGCAATTGTTTTAATTTCAAACGAAAGGTCGAAATGTACTTTCTATCATAATGTTCTATTTTAACTTGTAACTTGTAATCCTCATTCCCTAGAGTAGTTGTAGGTCAAACATTATATAGTCCTCAAATGCAATGACATCAAGTGAAAAATATATTGACAAGAAAAATAAAAAAATAAAAAAAATAAAAAAATGGAAGAGTTTGTAAGAATTACCGGAGTGCTAGTTCTTGATTCAGCCTTCAATAGCCCAATGCAATTTCTTCGTGTATTTGATTTTGATACAAGAGTTGAAGGGAGTACAGTCACACAAAGGCCATAAGAGTGTTAATCCCGTCTCCAAAGACGATCGCACGCTGCAAGTTTATGAACGTTGCAAGTCTGCAAGTCTGAAACCCAGCCGCAACACTGCTTAAATCTCAACACCAAAATTTGAAAAAAAAAATGCAAAATGATAACAACAACAATCCAGATAAAAAAATTCTTCCTTATTCCCGAAAATTCCCAAAACTTTTCCTTTTCCCCAGAAAATTCCGGACAGAAATGGATTGAGAAGGGGAGAGAGTAGCTTTGGGACGAAAAGAAATGGAGAGACGGAGAGGGAGGAGAGAGTAGCTTTGGGGACGATTTTGCGCAGGAAAAATGATTTTGAAGGTTGTTGTTTTGCAGGACAAAAGATGGAGAAGAGGAGTTGTGGGTGACGAAACTAAAGGAAGAAAAGGAAACAACTCTCCAGAGAGATACCAAAGAGAGGTTGAATAAAAAATAAAAATAATAACGAATTAATAAAGGGGACGGAACTGTTGATGTTTAAGCTTTTCAGCTGCCTTCTGATTGTTCTGTTTTGTTTCTTTGTAATTCAAAGTTTCTTTTACTCTTAGTTTGAAATGTAAGGCTGAGATTAAATCAAAGCTAATAGGCTAAATGTGTGTGTGTCTCATGGTATAACATCTCTCTTATATGCGAGCATGTGAGATACACGTGAATGTGTGTAATGGGTGAGTGAGTGCGCCTTCAAACGGCTATATCTCACCCCCACTCTATGTTTTGTAGCTTCTTAATCATTCTCAGTCATAGCTGAAAGAAATCAGAGAATTCACAGAGCTCTTCATCTTCTTTGCACCTTCATTTTTCGTGTTGTTCTTGGTTGAAATCAAAATCTTATTGATTTCTTCTTGGTTTCGTGCTCTGCTGTTTCATAGAACACTAACAGGAACATAGAATCTTCTAGCAGTTAGCTTAACAGCTAAGATATCTAAGTGCTATATAAGGAGAACTGTAAGAAAGAACGGTTGTTGTTGTAAAAGTTGATTACCATAGTAAATAAATTGTTGTTACTGTTACATTGAGTAAGAAGTGAAGTTAGGGTTCTATCAAAAGTTGGATGAGAACAAACCTTGAACGTTGCTTAATTATAATTAGCAGCAGAATGAATCTAGGTAAAAGTTGAATGAGAATAATTTGAGCCTTATGGGGCTGAACCTTCGTTGAAGTTTCATGGAACCATCTTCTTTTATCTCAGACTTTCTGTATTTAATTAGTATATTAATCCATCTTATGGTTATGGATGCAGATTAATAACTGGCTTAGTTTTTTTTTCTTTTTTTTTTTTTGAGTTGAGTTTCTTTGTTTTCTTTTGTTAATTGGGTTTGATTTGGTAATCTTGATTCAGTAGTCATCAATCTACATTCATAACACTTTTGTCTCGTCTTGTAAATGTGGAAATGCATGTTGTAGAAAAGTCTTGTCATTCGTCATGAGCTGCACGCAAAACACTTAAGGCACATTAATCTGTATGCAGAACGATAATCTTAGTACATATTTTACAATTCTGTACCGACATAATTCAAGATTCTGTACGTATTTTGAAATATTAAAAAATTCGGGAGCTTGTCTGAGGTCTATGAACTTTTCACGCCAATGACAAGCCCAAGACGTGCTCAGGCCTTACCATATGCCTGTGACAAACAAATGGCCATAAATTTCCGGCATCTACTAGCAAAGGGTGACCCAAACAACTAGATTATGTGACAAACAAATGGTCCCCTAGCCAAAATAAACTCAAACAACTAGAACAAAAAGGAAAGAACAAGGAAAATGAACAATAACCTGGTTTCAGGTCACGGTGGATGATTCCATTTGCATGCAAGTATTCCATAGCTCGACATACATCTATTGCAAAACTTATTGAACATTTGAGATCAAGTGTTCCGGGGCGCATTCCCCACAGGTGCTTCTGAAGGTTGCCTCCTCTCAGAAGCTCAGTAAGAATTATCATCGAAGGTTCAAAGCATGCACCTACGAACTGTTTCAGAGCATTGACTTATATGAGCATATGCACTAGGGGCATTGACCATGAAAATATACCCATCAGGAAAATGATTACTGCAAACTGATATGACCAAGCTTTAATAAGCTACACATACGAATCTAGATACATTTAGAAGGTGAAAGACAGTAAATCTGAAAGATTTAAAAACCAAAAATTTATTAACATTTATAACTTAAATTTAGCTTTCCAAATTACTGTTATCTCTGTATCCATCATAGTTTTAATTACTTAAGCCAGTTTGCTGAAGCTAACAGGATCACAAAATTGAATACCGCTTTAGGAACAGAAGCGCAGTGATTTCATTTCCCCAGGTCCAGATTTCATCTGACCTGGATATAAATCGACGGAATATATTTCTTGAAACCAATGGTCAATTTGCATAAGGATATTGCTCACAAATGGGAGAAAATGATTTCCAAGAAATGATGAGTGTAAATATTTATATTAATAACAAATGCAGGCATAAGGAAAAAAAAAAAAGAAGAAAAAAAAAAAAAAGGAAGAATAATGATCATCATACCTTGACAATATTTTCATGTTTGACTTTTGCAAGCAATGAAACTTCCCTCAGGAACTTTTCTTGGCAATCAAGACTAACTTCTGTTGTTTTGGGTGGCCGTATAATTTTTACAGCAACTGGCTTGGATTGGTACCTAGAAACATAATTTCGAAAGCTTCAGCAATCTAAAATCCAGGACATAAAATTCCTCAGTTTCAGCATATAGATTATGACGTATATTCTTACTTAATCAGGACAAATATATATGATTGATTTATTACATTAAGCATTTAATTAAGATTTCGTCCCATATTAATAGGTTTCAGAAAATTGTTTAGTGTTAAAAAAATTAAAAAATAAAAAAATAAAAAGAAGCCCTGCCACAAACATCTACTGCTGCCATTGACCATTAATGTTTTTCATGCACGGCAACAGAGGGATAAAGTTTATGTCAATGACATCTATGTCGGACTGCTGCTTGCCCAGAAATTTAACCTCCAGGTGCAATGAATATGATAACTATTAAATAAACTATGTAAATGAATCTATGAAAAGGCCTGGCCAAGTAAAAAAAAAAAAAAAAAAAAAATCTAAAGATATCCTTCTTTTCCAAACTCTCTTTGATCATCTCCCATTTTCCACCTGTTGAAAAGACTTGCCGTAAACTTATTGATTCTCTAGCGTCTTTATATCTGAATCGGATACTGTAAAGAATAAGCTGATATAGCATCACCATAGAACAAATATCAGACGATAATTCTGTCCGTCCTGTATGTGCCTAAAACTGTTGACTTTTTACTAACTTTTATATCTAAACTTAAAAGTCCAATAGTAATCTGATCTCTGCAACTGATTATTACATCCTTGAAGACCACCAAGCCAAACGATGATAATCTCGTTAAGGGGTAAGCAAATGTTTTTATCCTGAGAGAACTTTGAAGATGAAGAAGAAAAGCACAAAAAAGGATCTATGATTAAACAGTTCCACTGCATATGCTTAGGTGTGCCCTAGTAATCAGGTGATCGATGATCCAGAGGGAGGAACAATTTGGATGGTCTAAAGTGGGGCAATCGAACCAATGGCTTCTAGGTTGTAAGGTCGCTGTTAGTTGAATCCACCCTGCCCACCGACCCCCATCACCACCTTGTCTCCCAATCCCCAGGCTACTGAAGCATAAAGAGCACAGAAAATAAGTGCAGTGCCTCCAAATTAAAACAGAAGATTACCTGCCATATATAACCAATGGTTTCCCATTTGCAACCTCCCACACATAATTATGTATCTCCCTAAGTACTTCATTAAAAACCATCTTACATGGCAGAGGTCGCGACAGAGTGATGATTTGCAGACATGTATGGGAGGACTTGCCCGCTATTGGACAATTATAACTAAACCGAACCTATCATAATGAAATTGTCTATCCCTCCTAAACACTAAATCTTCTATGCTAACAAATGAATAGAGTTCAAATGCAGAATGTCTACATTCCATTTTGGGCATTCAAAATCACGATCAGTCAAATCTACATTAACGAAACTTTTATCCCTCCTAAGCTTAATAATAAATGGACTCCCACTTTGGAGCATTTATCAAAAACAGTTAAAACCAATGATCGATGATATCTGTCAATAACGATTCTCATCAATACTATATACTTTTTATGTGTTCTCCTATACACTGATACAAGACCACCTCCTGCAGGAACCCTCCAGTTCAAATTTAATGAAGATTCAAAGGCAACGAAATGTTATAAGACAAATGTACCATGGCAGAAACTGCAACTCAAAAACCCACAATTCCCCTTTGACTCGAAAAGGGTTTATCAATTGTGAGAACCACAACTCCAAGATCGGAATATAAGTCAACACTTGCCACCATAAACCCAAAAATCATCAAAACCCTCAGAAGGGTTTATCGAAAAACCTCCGAAACTAACACAACTCAAACACCAAACCGAAACAAACACGCCAATTCAAGCAGCCAAGCCAGCACCAAAAGCACCACAATTCAAGAACAAGCAAACAATGTGAGCAACCAAAATCAAGAAGCAAAAAACCCATGAAAAAAAAAAAAAAAAAAAAAAAAAAAAAAAAAGCTCAGAGCAAACAGATACAGAGAAGAAAGTGTTAATGGGACCCACAATCCTTCATAAACAATAGCTCCAGGCCCTTCTTCGAGCACAGAACTGTTGTGCCTTGGCCCGTTCGTCAGTGCGGAACCGAGATTCAGATTACAACTTCACAAATTTCACACACAGTTGAACAAAATAAAATACAAGAAATAAAAACACAGAGAAATTTACGAGGTTTGGCAAAAACCTACCTACGTCCCCGGAGAGATATTGCTCTTCACTATGAGAATAACAGTACAAGTATACGTGAGTTAAATCGATATAACCCAATCCCATATTCTTTGTACACCCACTCACAGAATTTTCCCAAGAGCCTCACTCTACCCCAAGAGTTCTTTCACTAGAATATTTTTCACTCTAGCTCTCTTGATTTTCTCTCAACCCATGTTCAACCTTCCATGGGAGAGCCGAATGCTCTCCCCCTTGGATGCTCTCTTTTTCCCATCACAAAGGCATAACCAAATTCCTTAATATAAACAAAAGGCCCCGCCTTCTCTCTCTCCTCTTCTCTCTTTCGGCTTATCACACAAGGCCAAATCTTTGCCTTTGTAAAAGCCACAAATCAAGGGCTAGACATCATAATGATGTCCCCCTTTTTCTTTGTCCCTTTCTTTAGCCGAAAGTAGCTAGCACTCCACATGGTTGAGATGAAATTGTTGCCAACTCATAATATGAGCCAATCACAACAAGAACCAATCTTGATGCAGCTCGGTTCAATCAGAATGCTGGGGTCGAATTTGAAGGCGAAGCTGACCTTCCCCGCCGCATCTCCCTCCCTCTAGCGGCCGCTCTCGGCGTTCTCAACAGGGTCCTTCTTGTACAGGTCGATGAACCCGCCTCCCTCTCCCTCCATTGCCGACAACCCCAGTACTACTTCTGCTGCTATATGCATTTTACAAAGAGATAGAGTTAGAGAGAGAAAGCTAGAGAGAGAGGAAGCGATAGAGACAGAGTCCAAGGAAGTGGTTTTTAAGAGAATTAAATTCCAAATTATATAGCCGAAAATTAAAACCCGAAAATCATATAAATGGAAAAATTATGTGTCCATTTAAATGCTGTGCGAGAAATGCGAGGGAAAGCTTAGGAAACTTTTGCTGCATTTTTGGGAAATAAATAATTTATTCCTAATTCGAAAATAAATAATTTGTTTCGGGAGTTATGATTCGCTGCGGCTCCGTCGCGTGGGGTTGGGATTCAGGTTGCCGCGTCGACAAGGAGACGAAATTTGATTGGTCCAGCGCCGGTTGTTACTGTTTTTGGTTTCGTTAGATATGACTTGTGGCAAGTATGTAAATGTCGAGGAATAATGGAAGTATTGGGATGCGACAACCGTGATTTAATTTCAGAAATAAGTACATATTGTCCTACCATTTTGGTTTTTAGGTAAGTGTGCATGAATGAAAGCGTAGTATGTGCTGATGATTATTTTCTGTACGGATTGTATGTATGTTGAACGTGTTAATCAAAGTTTTGTATGTGCTGATTTGTACGTTGATTATGATTTATATACATGGTGACAACGTACGTTAATGAAAGTTTTGTATGTGCAGCCTATTATGTCAGTTTTTGTTTATACATACGTCGAACGTGAATAAAAACTTTTTATGTACCGATTAGTATACTAATTTTGGTTTATACGTACATTATGCATGAATGAAAGCTTTGTATGAGCCGATGATTATTCTATGTAGGTATTGTATGTACGTCGTACGTTAATAAAGGTTTTGCATGCACTAATTTCTATATCAATTATGGTTTATACACATGGCGTACATTAATGAAAGTTTTTGTATATGCTGATTATTATGTCAACTTTGGTTTATACATACGTCGAACGTGAATGAAAGCTTTGTATGCGCCGATTAGTATATCAATTTTAGTTTATATGTACGTTGTACATGAATGAAAGCTCGTATGCGCTGATATTTTAAATCACAAGTACGTGGAATGAAACTTTGTATGCCCGAATTATAATACTAATTTTGAGTCACAAATGATTAGATGTTACGAGAACGAGATTATATATGTTTAGAACATACAATATTTTTCCTATTGAAATAATCAATTTGCTAACTAGGTGATTATTGGTTTTGATTAATATGTTTAGTAGGGAACCAAAATTTGAAAAAAAGGTGTAGGCTTTGCTGAAGTAGGGCAATTTTGCTGGAGTACATCCTACGTCGTGAGTGAATGACTGGATGTTGTGAGAAAGGCATTAAGTTTAGTTAATTTGAAATCTTTATATATAAAGCCAACAACTCCTTTTAGAATCACAAGCTTCACCAAAAAGTTTTGGACAAAAATGCTCACAAAACAAAAAATTGCAAAAGCAACCCAAAATAATGAACCAAATGATACAGGGATATTTTCGTCATTTTAGTATTTTTTAATAATTAATTATTTTTGTACAATTTTTTTTTAATTAGTATCTCACAACAGGCTAGCAATAATACGATTTAATCAGTTATTCATTAAATATTATTTTTTTTCTCTTTTTAAACACGTTCAAAACATCTTAAGAGGCATGTAATGCTGATTATAAAAAAAGTCTTTCGTACTCACATAATAATGTGATTAAATTAGTTGTCAAATTATTATTTTACTTTTTTTTTGAAAAAACGATATTATCTATACTAAGGGAGAGAAGGTGGGCTTAGCCTCACAATGAACTAGCAATAATGTGATTCAATCAGTTGTTTATTAAATATTATTTTCTCTATTGTTAATGTAAATTCAATAGAATGTAGATAGAAATTGAAAGACTGATTTTATTATGTGAATTCAGCTGCTTTGATTGGTTTGTGAGGAGTTTTTTCTAGCATGATCTAAGATTATTCATTTACTTCAAATATTTAACTTTCCTTTTGTCAATTCACACATATAAATACATTTAAAACGTGTAAGTCGCATATAACGCACTGTAATTCACAAAATGTCTTATGCACGTGCGTGCATGAAGGCTAGTAAACAATAATGTAATGGGAACATGATGTGCCATAGTGTGGTTGGTATGTGTGAGAGGAAATCAGATGTTGCCTCAGTAAAGGAACTCTACCCACCATGCTGAAAGACTTTCTTTAGCATAAAAATTATGCAGATGGTCATATGTTTACACAGTAATTAATACATATTGATTAGTTTAACCACTATATTGATTAGTGTCAGTCTTGTGTGGGCGCGTGATCTTTGGAAACATATTTACTTTAGTGGTTCATTAAGCTTCAGTTTTAACTGCATCTATTGAATTATGTGAGCGCATTTGTAGTTAACGTTTGTCATGCTCCCACACAACTACGTGAGATTGATGCTAGCGTAACTCTTTCTTTCGATAAGTTAGCCCATCTAATTTGGGTCTTGGAGTTGCTACTCAATGACTAGCTATAGGCTTTGATTGCAGACCAGAAGAAAAGGGAAAAAATATTAGACATCCAGTTGGGCCAACTATTACTTGTATCAGGTCCTACCTGACATACATCCAGGGAAGATGCTGGGTTTATACTTGAAGCTTTACTAAGGTTTTGTTAATCTAGTCAGTGAAAACACTAACTAATCTATTACGGCGTTTTTAAGGAGGAACATTTTAATCAACTTTCCATTAATTTTATTAGATTAGTAAACAGATAGAAGATCAAGGTACATAGAAATTGTAAAATCAACTTGAAGCAACTACATGTATATTATGTCCAATAACGCAATTATTAAATATGGTACAAATAGTTTTGTTCGGAGATTTATTGACTTGTGGAGTGTTGCAAATCATCGACCCGTCTGTTCACTTGTTCCCTACCTTCCTTGTGTAATTGCGGTTGCTCCACCTCCTTGACCGGTTGCTCCTCCTCCTTGACCGGTTGCTCCTCCCCCTCCTCCTCCCCTTAGATTTGGAGTTTTCAACTTTATGAAGTGATGAGCAAAGGGAAGATCTTCTTCGAACCAGTAGGTAGACGCGAATGCATCCTTAGCAGTTTGATCCCACCTGTAACCAGCAGTTTGATAACACCTGTAACCATAAACCATATCTTCCCGTAACGTTTTCATAATATATTCAACGATATACTCTTGGGAGCTAAGTTGAAGTTGTTTAAACGACTCGATGAATCTTCGGAGTCTGAAATCCTCCTCATTCTCGCCGTGGAGTTTCTCTATTGTGTCACCTTCTTCAGCTTCACCGAGAAGTACTTGAATGGGGTTTCTTGGTTCGTTGGTGCACACTGTCTTGAACCAAATAATGGACAAACCAAAGTAAAATTCAGCATATCGCGAGGAGAAATTATTTTGTGATACTGAAATACTGTCGTGTTTGATTCTCTCTCTCTCTTGGTTACCGGATGTTTGCAGCGTACTTGTGAGATCCCACTTCGCAACTTCATTCTGATCCCAAAGGGAAGGATGCGTAGTACAGAGCTTTATAAATCTTCTGAGCCTGAAATCCTCCTCACTTTCTCCGGAGAGTTTCTCAATTATGACATCTTTGGTGTATTCGCTTGAATAGTACGTCTCCATTAACCAATCAAACAATTGTTCTATCATATTTTTCCGACCATTGGAGCCTAGTTGCCCGAACGAAAGAGTCAAGTCATGCAACTTTCTTTCACATAAGAATTTGTTTAAAATTTTGGAGAGCAAATGAGCTAGGGTAAAGGACCAAACTTTGTGAACTTGGCTTGTGAACGTTCTCATTCTGAAATCTTCCTCACTTTCTTCTGCAAGTCCTTTTGATAATCTCAACCTTTCCACCCGCTTCACCAGAGATTTCACTTTCTTCTGCAACTCTTTTGAAAATCTCAACCATTCCACTAGCTTTACCGGAGATTTCTTCAATTTTCCGTTGTTGATCAGTGGCGGATAGTAGGCTAAATCCAAAAGTTAAGAGCTGAGATAATATTTCACGACTGGCCGAAACTTTTGTTCTAAGGTTCCCGCGAGGAAAAGATGTTCGTTTACGCAGTTCCTCTTCGACGGTGTCAATCAAACGAACTTGAATACCAAAGGGAAGTGCTTTTGTGCACAGAAGCTCGGAGAATTTTCTGAGTCTGAAATCCTCCTCGCTCTCTCCGTGGAGTATCCGATGAATTATTCCACTAGCAGAACCTTTTACTGATCTACCAGAGTTTGGATGTTTTATCAACCATCTCTGTATATCCACGCCTTGTGCCTTGAACCAAACAATTGAGAAACCAAAGTAAAACTCTTCAAAACGGGATTTCCAATCCGAACTAGTTTCCTCTTCGGCTGTCTTCTGTTCATCTTTTCGTTTCTTTTTATGTTCTTCCATGCAGGGGACGAGAAGCTTATGAACATAGTCGGTATAATCTCTCGACAGCTGTGAAAATCTTCCGAGTAAGACATCTTCATCATTGGTTTTGTCAGAATCAGCTGTGACATTAACAATTTTACCAATCACTTCTTGTTGTTCATTGGAATCTAGTTTACTGAACCAAGAAATCAGTTCGCCAAATTGCCCTTCGCGCTTGAATTTCTTTGTAACTTTGGAAAGGAAAAGATCATGCTCATGGAAGGGAAGTTTCTTGAATAGCTCTGTGAATGTTCTGACTCTCAAATCCTCCTCGGTTTCTTCAGGGAGTTGCTCGAGCACTGGAACACCTTGATGAACTAGTTTATTACGCACTTCTTCCGTCTCCTCTAGTTGATCACTAGCAGATAGTTGGCTGAATCCAAAAATTGAAAGGCGCAAAAGTAGTTCAGCAGCATCAACGCTATCAGTAGACATTGATGAATCAACCTGAAGCAGAAGTCCTACAAGCTCTGGTTTATTATCCTTGTGTTCTGTTAAAAAAGTTGCAATGTTAATTTGGTCAGAAGGAAGCTGATCAAGGTCTATTTTTCCTTAGCTTGTACTAGTAAAATGTAAAATTTTTGAAACGAAATAAAAAAGAAATTTTTATGTTACTGATCTGTTGTAATTCCTACTCTATGTTTTGCCTAAATATGAGCTTTAATTGCCATTTCTCCAAGCCTTCAAATTCATCAATTAAATTATATAAGAAAAGAACAAACCGAAAAATGTTTTAAGAAAACGTACCCCGTGATCTTGCTTCAGCTTTCTAGTGTTTCTGCAGAGAGATTCGCCACTCGATTCGAATCCAATTCGAACTAGTGTTCTAAATTCTAGCACCCTTCAGATTAGAGGAGGTTTGAATACATCAATAATTCCTTCATCAGCAGTGCAACAAGCCAATTCATGGAAGAGCATCCAAAAGTCCAAGTCATTAGTCAAGTCTGTGTAGCTTGGCTCATTAGAAAGTTTCAATTCACGACGGTGAGAAGTCAAGTTTGTGAAGGTTCTTGGGTAATTACAAGTGAATACAATTTTAACATTATAATATATTTTTAATTGGAACTTAAAGACCAATTCCTCAAAAGTAACAGAATACCAAATACAAATATTTTAGAAAGCAGATCTCGTCAGGCAATCAGAAAGTTGATTTGAGGCAAAACTGAGGACAATGAAAATGCAAATTACTCATCTCCACCACTCTATACCGGATGCAGGACATTCGGTACCCGTTCACTTGTAATTGTTCATATTATTTATTCAAATTGCACCCTATGCCATTTTATGAAACTACAAGTGAACGGGCACAATTTCCAGCATACACTGCATTAATTAAAGGGAGCTTTAATGAAAAAGATTTAGATTAAGTTTAATTTAACCAAAGACCACCCTATACTATTATTTAAACAAAATGACTTTATATTTTATGATAAGGACAAAACTATTATATATCAGGTAAGTATAAACCTTGAATACACATGGGCTGAATTAAAAGCCCAAACGAAATAGTTTTTTTTCCCCAGCCCTTACCCCTAACGGAACCCCACGCCGTCAGCCACTTCTGTTAGAAATAAACTTTCGTTTTTTTACAAGTATGCCACTTCCTCATTGAGAAAAAAAAAAAAGCACCCAATAATTTTATACGACCACAAATCCCATCTTGAATTTTGTACGTTCTTGCTTCGTTAATTTTAAATCGGAGGGAAAAATGTTAGGACCTGTTTGGTTTTTCAGAAAATTTCACTGAGATTCTGTTATTTTGATCTACAATATTGTGACGAATGCGACGGTGGGTCTGCATATGCTGATTTGGTGGGAAATTTTGGGATTGGAGCTGGCGGGGTTGGAAGGGAAGACGATAACGTCGAGGGAGAGGAGAGAGAGGTGGAGGATGGGGAGGTGGAGGGAGTTGGGGGAGAGAACGAAGGCGCACTGTCCGTGGGAGAGGCCGAGTTGGGATTGAAGTGAGGCGGCAAGGGTTCAGACTCGAAAAATGAACTCGGGGTAGAGAATATGGTGGCCGGTGGCTGAGTCGAAGAGGGCAGGAGTGGAAGGCAGGGGAGGGGAGTGGTGGAGGTGGGAGATGAGGTAGTCGGTGAGGGAAAGAGGCGTGGTTTGGGGAAGGGGTTGGGATCTGGGTCTCAGGCTGTGGAAAGTCTTGGTCTTTGAGCAAAACCCATTCTTTGGATCAATGTTGCTGCCCTTCTGTTGAGTCGCCATTTATTGTTTCAGTTGTTTGAGGTTGAGGTGTCAAGATTTGAATTGGATATGGAGGTATTAAAATAGATATTTTGGAAAATAACTGTTATAGATAATATGTGGATGAACTACTTGAATAATTCGTTGTTATATATCAAAGAAAAATCAGATGAATTATATTTATAAGCAGAAAAATGGATGGGTTACTATTCCTGCACAGTATTTCACTACTTATTTAAAAAAGTTTGTAAAGTGAATAGTGTTGCATAAATAGCGGTTATTTTGTTCCTTTCTAGAAATAGTGTAGGTTATTTTGGTTTAGTTTTCAAAAATGGTGTGTAATTTTATTGTAGTTCCGTAAATATTATGAGTTATTTTGGTTCAGTTTCAGAAATAATGTGGGTTATTTTAGTTTAATTTTGAGAAATAGTGTGTAATTTTGTTATAGTTCTAGAAATAGTGTGAGTTATATTGGTTCAGTTTTAGAAGATAGGTTATTTTGCTGTAATTCCAAAAATAGTGTGGGTTGTTTTGGTTTAGTTTTATAAATAGTTTGCAATAGTACCATAAATAATGTGCGTTATTTTGGTTCAATTTCAATAATAGTGTTGGTTATTTTGTTGTATTTTCAGAAATATTGTTTATTTTGTTTCATTCTAGAAATAGTGTGTCTTATTTTGGTTTAGTTTCAAAAATAGTATGAGTTATTTTGCTATAGTTTCATAAATAGTGTAAGTTATTTTATTGTAGTTTCAAAAATAGTGTGGGTTATTTTGTTTCTGCTTTAGATATAGTGTGAGTTCTTTTGATGTAGTTTCATAAATAGTCAGTTAATAAATAGTGTAGTACTTGTGTCAGTTTCATAAATAGTCAATCAGTTTAATAAATATAATGTAGTGCCCGGGTCAGTTTCATAAAATAGTGTAGTACATGTGTTAGTTTCATCAATAGTCAGTCAGTTTAATAAATAGTGTATAGTATATGTGTCAGTTTCATGAATAGTTAGTCAGTTTAATAAATAGTGTAGTACCCGTGTCAATTTCATAAATAGTCAGTTAGTTTAATAAATAGTGTTGTATCCGTGTCAGTTTCATAAATAGTGAGTTTAATAAATAGTGTAGTACAGGTGTTAGTTTCATAAATAGCCAGTCAGTTTCATAAATAGTGTATACATGTGTTAGTTTCATAAATAGTCAATCAATTTAATAAATAGTGTCACATGTCAGTTTCATAAATAGTGTAGTACCCGTGTTAGTTTCATAAATAGTTAGTTTATGAAACAATTAATGTTCAATTTAACAAATAGTGATAGTTTTAGTAAAAAAAACTTGTGTTGGAAATATATATAGAAAAAACTTGTGATGGAAATAAAAATAACCAAATCACTAGCAATTGCAAAGATTTGTGCATAAAAAAAAAATGCAGATACAGGTTATTAATCACAAATGCTAAGAAATGAATATATATAGACACACACACACACAAATTGTCTCTAAACTCTTTACGAGTACATGTATCATTAGATTCACTCATTCATACAATCTATTACCACATTCAACTCTCATACTTACAATTAATTAAACTTTTAGATTCACAATTTTTTTAGAGTGGTACGAAAATAGAACAACGGAAACTAAGAGGACTTGTAAATTGAGCTTCAAATTCTAAACAATGGCCACATTCAAACAAAAAATAGTGGGTATATATAAACAAATCCAGAGCCATCAAACACAAGTATGACAGTCCAGAGCCACTAAACCCTTCCATTTGCTCCAAAAGCCCTTGCTCCCTACTGCTTCAGTGTCTACCCAAAATGTGAAAAAACCAATTCAATACTCAAACCAAGAAAAAGAATTTGCCAACAAAAAAAAAAAAAAAAAGGCAATGAAAGTGAGGGAATTTAATTTGAAGCAATACCTCTAGTTGTTGCTGATCATTTAGGGGGAAACTATCTGCTGCTGTTGCTGCTTCAGCTAGGGAGCACTTGAGTGGAGCTGGGAGACTGGATTTTGGGGAGAAATGATGGGTGTGCAAGTGTCGCCGCTCAGAAGATGCAGCAGGTCAGCGTCTGAACATTGTTGTCATCAGATCCGGCTCCTCCCTCGACAAATTGCTCGGCCGTCGAGCCAAGACTCATGGTTGCTGCGGTTTCTGTCGAGGATTTGTTGGCAGCTCGGAGGACGTGAAGCATATTGTTCGGGTCACGTGCAACGCGACAAAGAGATCGTTGAAGAGCACGAATCTCTTCGTGCCTCCCGTCGAAGTAAAATGGGAGCCCATCGATATGACGGAGAAGAAGGTCGGATGATGGTGAGAAGCAAAACAGACCAAATAGACGGCAAGACTTGATGTCAGGTTAAAATTGGAAGCTCAATAAATTATATTCCTTGGGTTAATCTTATTGGGCTGATTTGATGTTGGGTTTTGTCCTAACTATTAAATAAACTTATTACTCGATTTTTAGTCAAGATTTAAAGTTTTAAAGTTCTTTTCATTAGTTTTCCTTTAATTAAAAGGAAAATTAATGAAAATCGTTTGAAAACTTTGAGTTTTAATGATATGGATAAAATAAAGGGTAAAGTGAATAGTACTAGGATTGACTTTTTAGTGTAAAAATGTAGTTTTTCGTTAAAGTCAATGATACCGGGAACTTTTCACTAAAGTTCCCTTAATTAAACCCCAACTTGGCTAATCTGATGGTTCAACAATTCAATTTCTTTTTTTTTTTTTTTTTTTTTTTTTAAATCACATGAAGCTGTGAATTCTATATGTAGAACCCCTGAAATTATAGAAACCCTGAAGCTTGTTGGTCAAGACACATACTTACGTACGTAGCAGGTACGAAAACTTACAGGTTCTGTGAAACTTTTGTTGCTGAAGTTGCGTGCTCGTTAATTTGAGTCTATGTATCTTCTTGGGTGGGGTTTATCTACCTGCATTCGAGGTTTATTTATTTTTTATTTTTAGTTCATTAATAATTATGTACTGTATGATTTCATTGTTGCATCTATATCTTAATTAGGTACACTGTTCTAAAAATCATAGACGCTTGGTTACCGTCTTGATTAATACCTAAGTGTTTGAAAATTTAGAAAGGGTGCCCAGACTTGTTGAGGCGCCCACCAAAACCGCCTAGGCACCCGCCTAGCTTGCCTAGACCCACCTAGACATCTGCCTAGGTTGCGACTTACCTAGACAGAAAATAGATAACATTCATTTTGCATTTTTTTTTTTTTGATAAATTGTAAGAGACTTGTTGAATACTTAAATGAACACACATTATATGCTTGTTCCCCATGTTTTATTATGTTTCAATACTTCATAATATATATGTCATTCTATTTTGTAATTTATGATGTAATTATATATATTTTAAGTATAAATATACACTTATTTACACGAAATATAACAGGTTTACTTAAATTCGCCTAGTCCGCCTAGGCGCCCGCCTAAGCCTCGCCAAGCCGCCTAGGTGCTAGGCCTCAACCCGCCGCCCGACTAGCGCCTAGCTTCTTTTAGAATCTTAGAGATATGACTCCACCTGCATTTGGAGATACTGATAAGATCATCAAATTACTCTGCACGTAAATTGTTCTATATTACTTTTCCTGTACACAAATTAGCGGTTAAATGATTACAAGCTTGCAAGCACACCTTTGGCAATGAATGAAAAAATTCAAAAGCAAGATGGAAGTGATTCTGCTAATGAAACTGTGTATAGGCAAGTAGTTGGTAGTTTGCTATATCTTACCGTAAC